TACTAATTAATGCACGTCCCTAATCAATAAGACATCTGAACTAAGGACAAAATTGTTGTCATAAATGTGAATCGCTCCAATCTGTAGGACAGCAACATGCATTTTTTGACAGCTCGAGAATTAAACATTAGTCTGAACCCTCAACAAAAAATAACAATAAAGGTTGTATAGATCTAAATTATAAATAAAAAGTGCTTTTGCTGCTACCGTCTACAAGCCTGTTCAGCTCCTTGTCAAGATACTACCCCGTGGGCCATACAGAAATTCCTGAGACAACTTACAGGTCGCTTGTCTTACGGGTTCTAATGTTCCAGATCTTTGAATTCACTCCTCACTTAAATATCACTTACCTACCTCGCAATATTCTTTACATTTTCAGGCAAGGGATGAATTCCGTGTTTGTCAATAACGTGACCTAGGAAAGTCAAGAATTGAACACAAGTCTGGCATTCGGCTAGGTTAACTGTTACCGAGTGTTTAGAGAGTCGACGAAAAACCTGTTGTAGATGAGCACAATGAGTATCTTCGCCTGGACTAACTATCAGAATATCGTCTAGGTCGGCATAAGCAAAGTCTGATCTCCACAAAACATTATGAATAAAACGCCGATTCATCTGTGCGGCGTTGCGTAGGCCGGAAGGCATACGAAGAAACTCATAAAGACCGACCGGGGCTGTACCGGAATTCGGTGATATGCAGGCGATAGATCAAGCTTGCTGAATACACTTGAGCCTCTCAAAGGTGATGTCACATCATGTATGTGTGGGACTAGGTAACGATGGGGAACCGTTTGGAAACTTAGCCTTCGGTAATCGCGACAAAGCTTCCAGTTCATACCACTGTTCTTAGGCACCTGATGTAGAGATGAAGACCATGGACTGTTGGATGGTCCGATTATCCCCATTTCGCGCATGTGTTCAGACACAGCCCTAACAGTGTGGAACTTTTCCAGGATTAACTGTAGTGGTTTAGCGAAGACGAGTATGCCAGCAGTCGTGGCATGTGAGTAACATTGGAAGTTACAGAGGGAGCAGCACCATTAGGTTTGAAAGTGTCGGCAAAAGATTGGATTATGGTGGAGTATGGACTCTATCAACTGCCTCTGTCGATCCCGTCAAAAGTGACTCGAGGGGGCATAGGGTCTCGAAGTTGAACGTTTCTGAAGATTCCCTGCATTCTCCGTACGGGGAAGCAATTATCTTGATTAAAGCCACCTTCAAACAACCAGAAAGGCTTTAGGAAGGGTGTGGGGAACACAAGAGTGAGCTGAGTAACGGTACAGGATATCAGAATAAAAAGTCAGAGTAATGAAAAAATGTTGAAATAGCACACTATAAAGGTACTGGTTACGAGTTCTTAAAGTTAATGGTCACTTGAGAATACGGTCAAAGTTCACTGCTACAAATTATTAATGTAACCCACTGATCTGTTTTACTCATGGAGTCGTGTCTGCTGGTTGAAGTAGTTTACTGGATGTGGATGAGATATTCCTGCAAATTCCGAAAAATACGACACGGGTGTTGGCGGAGCAAGAGTATAGTACAAGTCAGTAGGAAGACGAATTGACGAACAACATGGCCATAATTCTATTCGAACACCAAAGTTATATATTATTGACAAGGAACCTGGTCAAACAAAACCGTGTACCACACGTTCATCTTTCAAACTTATCAAAAACTGTGCAAATTTATAATTTAGGATTCCAAGGATATATGAAACGCCCACCATTATGTTTTCGGGAAGACTGGGGATCCTGAGGTTGGCTTTAGTTCCTGCCGAGTGAATACCCCGTGAAGAGATCTGCACTTCAACACGTGAGAACCATGAAGACGCCCAATATGCCTGAGAGGTGAGCGGTTGAAGCGCAACTGCCGTCTGAGTAGGAGAGTCGTTTTCAGCTATCGTTTGATAAGGTATGTGACATGAAATAGTGAATATATGTCAGTGTGAAATAGCACAAGACTTCAGTTGAAAAAGAAAATAACCTCTTATTTGAAGGCAAAAAGCAAAGCGACGATAAAAAGTTAGACTACTGACAAATTAGGCTTAAGCTGGGGCAGTGAATGAGATTCAGGTTCACCGGTTGTAAGGTACTCATAGTGCTGTTAATAAGCTACACTTTGCAAGCCCTCAATTAACGCAATTTGTATAGTTATCCAGCAATTCAGTACTTCACCTAACTGTAAGTGCTCACGACAGAACGCAAATTAAAGAGATTTGTTTATCCAAGGAGATAGGTCTAGAACTTATCTAGCGAAGACGGCTTAATTACAAACTCAGAGGATGTGCCTGTTGACAGTACAAAGCAAAAGCGCAGAATCGCTCTGGAGCCATTACATATATGTTCACATTGTAACAAAGTTTTAGAACATTGGAAGTTATACCAGATACTTTAAACGAGGACGATAAAGACTGTTTGACTCTATCCCCGCGCCTTCTGAAATTTGATTTGGGCTGAATACACGATCTGTGGGTAGCTCGTGTCCTACGTTCTTTACCTGTGTGCCTATTGATCTGATCGTTAGCACTGTATTTTTCTCGTAATTTATTGCCTGGTGAGTCGATGACTTTGTTTATTTTGATGTCAATATTGAGGATAATGAGCGGAATGTAGGCGTAATGTGTTGTTAACTTATGTATATCATGTTATATCATGAGTACTAAAGTCTTTGGACTCTTCTTATTGGAACTTATACGTGAATAATTAGTCTGTAGCGAATCGATGGAATAAGGGAGGGACGCATGGGAAATATTTGTACGTATATGTACAGATCGTATCAAAGAACCACCAGTATTTTCTGCCCAAATAAAAAAATTAGGCATTGGGGGGAGTATTTGGGGCTATTGGCGAAGAGTGCCGAAAGTCTTCGGAATTTTCACATCAATTTAGCCTTGAGGTCCCGCAGATTTCTCGAAATTTTGTTATCTGGATGGAGTTCCAGTTAGCTAAGACATTGTGCATAAACATTGCGTACAAAGAGAATCAACAAGTGGTCATACATGGGGGGGGGCAGGACATGATTTCTCAAAATTGTCAAGGTTCCTATCAAATCGAACTTGGGCGCTGTGGTAGAGTGTAATCCCACCAGAGTAAATTTTTTGATGTCTCAGTGTTATACAGTATTATTTACGGATGACATTTGGAGCACAATTTATTCCCCACACTGCCAAGATGTTCTCGTCTGTCTGAGCGATAATCATGTAAAATATAAATGGACATTGACTAGACTTTATGAGAGTGGCGAGTGGAGCCACTTGCTGCGCTAAAATCACTGGTTTTCTGCAAGTGCCTTGCAGCTTCTTGACGCCTGTTGGTCGACTCTAGTAGTTGGAGGGTATAACAACACGCTCAAGGCTCTCACACGTAAGGTGAGGCAGTGTTGACGTAAGGATGGTGAATGCTGGTGGTGGAAACTTGTGAGACTGAAGTAGTGGCTGTATCTGGTAGTGGTCGACAGTGGTGGGAGACTTTCAGTTCGTCTGAACCACCGGCATCAAGAAGCAATGTGAGCCAGATAGTAAGCTGATCAACAACTTGTTTTTCAGAACGCAGCATGCAAATTCAACTACAGTGCCTCACCTAAAGAAGCAGATAGATATTCGGAGGGAGATCTAGGCACTTAAACTCTTCAAGACCCTCTTCCCAGACAGCTTATCGCCATCTCTTCCTAAATGTGTGGGCGAGACGCTCCGCGGTGATTTCAGTGGGTCCTCCAGGAATGTACGGGGAAGTTAATGTTCCACCAATGTGGAATAAAGCTTTTTCATCGTGCCTATCTTTATGTAGGACCTGTGTAGTACGTTTGACAAACATTTGGGTGCTAGTTTGCTCTGAGTAGCGTCTAAAATAGTAGTTTGTATCTTGCGGCACAGGCTGTAAAAACGTGTGTGCAGCTGATTCGCGAAGACTAGGTTGGGTTTTGTTCAGGCTGTGGATGCATTGGTCATATATTCACTGTTCCTTTGTTGTTGGAACACCGTCACTCGTATTGCAGGCCAACAATCGTTGGGTTTCTTGATTCTTCGATTCGTTGGACAGAACTGCTCTGTGGAACTGTGTTAAAGGGAGAAAGAGAGGGGTGTATTTGAGTTTGTTAACAACCTATGAGCCTTATACAGAAACGCCTCAGGTAGAATAAAGGCATACAACGAGCTATCATCACTGTTTCCAACCGATAATGGGGTTAGACAAAGTTGCCCAATGTCTTCCTTTTTACTCTGCTCGATGAGATTCTGGAGACATCTATTTAGGACATGCGTAGTGGTGATATAGATCTACTTTCTGAAGGACTTTTTTAATCTGAAGTATGCAGACTATATCGTCTTACTGTGCGATAACATACAGACCACCAAGATGGCCCTTAATTAATCTGCAGTCAGCATCTATAAGTATGGTATGCGCTTTGTGTGACCTAAGTGGAAAGTATTGTTTCAAGGTTGACAGGAGTTGTTACCTACACTTCACTTCGCAGGTGAACTGTTTGAAGTCGTCGAAAAGTCCGTGCATCTAGATAGTTGTGTAAGTGCTGGAATTGGTGTGACCTATGAAGTTTCTAACCGTATATTGAAAGCTAGGGTGGCATACACCAACTTGGGTCAACTTAAGCGCCGTCGTGATCTAAGCATGGTTGTCAAAGGTGGGGTTCACTATAATTTTGGTGCTCTCAGCTTTACTCTACGCCTGCGAGACCTGGTCTCTCCTAGGTAGGGATATAAGGTAACTGAGTGTTCGATCATCTCTGCCTGTGTAGTATTACTTGTCTCCTATTGTGTATCACGGCGGTCACCTTTCATTGATTGTTGTCACCTGGGAACGACGACTTTAGTGGCTTGGACATGTGCTCCAAACGTCATCGCAAAGCTGCCATACTGCTCACAGTTGGCTAGCGCTGGGACATTGGGGAAAAGTGGTGGTCAGCCTATGATGTGGTGCCGTGGGACAAAGGATATGTGTATTAGCATAGCATCCGTTGATTCATTACTGTCTGGGTTCCGAGAGGTATTTCGAACCAGTGGCTCAAAGTGTTATGGTATATGGCTAGGAACCGTAATGAACGGTGAACATGCTACAGTTTCCTCTTTTCCCTTCTGGAAGTAACATCAAGTAGTGGGCCGTCCTTTGAATGATCTTGATGACTGTACTTGCTTGCTTTCTGGATGATGTTGCTGACTTATTCTATCCCAATTTTCCCAATATATTGTCGTATTATTATTTCACTGTGGTGCATCTCTTGGTGTCCATAATGTACGAAGTCTGTTTTAATAAAAATAATTCCATAGGTGTCTTAATTAATCAGCTGCCACCATATCTGAGGATTGACAGGGAAATCCATCTTAATCACACGTTTTGTGTGTGTATACCTCGCTTTGTTTCGCAACAGTTAACATGAGTTTTGATTATTAGACCCTGTTTACTAGTTACATGTTTGACAAATTTTTTCTAGCACTTTTCAGGAATGCCAAGAGAAATTTGCAAGTTAGATGAGAATTCACTGTCTAAGCTGGTAAGTTTTGTTCATTCGTTCATGTTTATTCAGTGATTGATTATGGTTGTTTTCTTTCTAAATTTCATATGTCAAGTGAATTTCATTTTCAGCCATTATAACCCTGAAACCAAAACAAGTGATAAGTGCAACTTATACCTGTAATGAGTATAGTGGAATATATATAGGCACTAAGCAACCCCTGCTTTGGGTGGGACAGTCATCAGTATAAAATTGTGAGCAAGTCGTTGATATTGACGTGCTCAAACCACAGAGTTGCATTCTAATGTAACTAGTGTAACTAACATTCTAAAGGTTAATTGATATACAGTATTTGAATTGGTGATAAAATAAACTTAATTATCCGTTATTTACCTTGGGCTGTAACACTTCTCGTACTCAATATTTCAGTTGTAATGCTTTTATTCTTATGATACCTTCAGCCCCGCATAATAAAGAGATCTTTATCGTTTCTATGTGTAGAGGATATTTCCGTCTTATTCACCTACTCAGTAGCCATTAAAGTGTGAATTTTTGACTGACTTCAGCTAAAGAACCGTACGTTGAAAACCGTCTCGTACTGGGCAGTCGTTTCGTCCTTGCCTCGGACTCTTGAGCAGCACATGCCCACGACCCCACCGGGGATAGAATCCCAGACCCCTGTAGGTTACAAAGCAAGCTCGTAGACCATTTAGTCACTGGGGCTGAATCCAACGGCCCGTCAATTCCAGCTTCTACCGATCGGCTATAAATGACACGACCGCCAGCCAATGTCATCGGCGAGTACTTATCCTCACACACAACTTGGAGGACTCCACTGGTAACGAGTTCGCACTAAAATTTCAGGCAACTTCATCCCATAGTCCGTCACAAGTGAGCACTAGATTATTTTCCAAGTGTTTGCCTGCAAGATTGACCCCTGGTTTCCAGTGGTTCTCCAACTGAAATCAACCTGTACAAGCTCATATGAGGATTATAGAAACTGCACAAAATGGTGAGTACATAAACTTGTATAATACGAAGGTTGGTTACTTTTAGGAACATCGGTGATTTGTTTATTGACTTTGGCATTCATCTCTTAAACTTTCCATCCCATCCACTTTAGAGCTCACAATAAGACAATATCATAAACTTTTGCATATCAAGTGTCTCGTAATCAAGCGAGTAGACGTATATTAAGCCCGTAATATGTTGTATCGTTACTAACTGAAAAATTTATCTCATTAGTATTATTTGATGTGAAGAATAATTCAAAACATTGAATCCTGTTGTACCTATCTGATAATGTTCAATTTTGTAGGAATCCAACTCATGGCAGGAGCGTAGAGATGCTTTAGAACTTATCAGTAATCAGTTAAAAGTCTCAACTTTGCCGAGTGGACTTCTTGGTCAGGTGACTAAAGGACTATGCCAAGTAAGAGTTTTCGCTGTTGTGTTATATTTACGTAAATACATGTTATTTTCAAGTGTTGGTTTGTAGGGATTTGATTGGTTACAGGATTTTCATCATGAGCTGACATTAGTTAGAGAATCATTGGAGTCCCAAACTAGGACGAAACGGCTGTCCAGTACTCCCAGGTTTTCCAATGGTTCTCTAACTAATGTCAGCTCATGATGAAAAACATGTTATTTTCATTAACAACAGGAAAAAATGATACGAAGTAAATGTTAATGAACCAGCTTGACAGCATAGTACTTTGTAGAAAAGTCCATCTATTCAAGTTATCATACTCCTTGAAGCAGATATAGGAAAACAGAAGAATATAATGAGACTAAAATCGACAGGGAACTAATAAATAAAGAAAAATTAACACTGGGAGAATCTAGAAGATAGCTTAAGACTGCACTAGTGTGGACAACTTTACTCATGTCACGGAGATCCCCATCCCTCGAAATTTTTAAAATCAATAATGGTAATGGCAAATAATGTAGCCTATAGAAAAATAATCCTGTTACAGATGGGAGGATTTTGGTTAACCAAAACAAGCGTTCATTTCATACACCTACCACCACCAGCTTTGAACACAAACTCTCCGTAGGTGAGACAATTTATGGGAATAATATCACTGAAAATATATTTGTTTGTTGATGTTTCCTTTAGTGATACCGTAATAGCTTTAAAATTTAAGTTATTGCAGTGTGTCGGGTAGACCCACAGCGCGTGCAACAGTTACATAATAATGGTATGGATATTTTAACTGATGAAGATATCGACCTATTTAACGAGGTATCTGGAATATCCATGTTTCATAATCACGTGAGCTTTTGATTGGTGGGGTTTTATTCGACTTAGTGTCTATGTTGTGAAGTTTGCTTGTAAACTAGCTTTTTGAACTGAGAATATCATCGTTATATAATTCTTTCTCTAAAACTAATTTTAATATTGAAACATATGAAGATGGATATGTGTGTTCAAACCAAGTTCATATTCAATGGTTTGAAAAAATTTGGGCATTGGGTATATGATGTTCATTATTATGAAAGATTTGTATTTCTCAACGAATGAATCAGCGAAACGATATTGCTTTTACTGACGACTCACTATTTAACACAGCTAATAGCCTTATCAAAGTAATTTACACCATCCTAACTTATATACAATAACTCAATCATAGGTCATCAGCATAAGGTAATTTTCACGTTACCAATTGGGTGAATTGGTAAAAATAAACCATGTGTAGATTGTTGGATTCGATAAGTATATTAATCTTTAAAAAGAGCATTTATTTACTTAATGAAATTGCTTATCATATTCACGATGATTCTGTCGATTCATTGGAGGGGAGGGGGACCAGGTGAAATTGTCTCAATTCGTCATTCCTATTCAAGACAATTTGGATTCCATTTTATTTGAAGTACTTCTGATATGAAATATCTTCTGTTTAAGGTTCTATGTTGAAACTCAGTCATTCCCTATCTACCGTTTAGTAAGTTATTTTTAATAATTCCCACTTTTAAATATAAAAATAAAAAATCTTAATTGTACATATAAAAGTAGTAGCTGCCTGTTTCATTTCGTTAAAGTCATTTTTAACCTGTAAATAATCATCTGCATGTCCGTTCCCTTCTTTCTTTGTTCAGGTGATTTCATCAGATAAACATTCAATGTTGGTAATTCGTGCAGCTGGTGTTCTTCGTGAATTAGTTGAATCAGTTGGTAAAGGTTTTATCAGTCATGCAGAACGGGCTCTTAGTGTTTGCCTATTGAAATTCAAAGACAACAAAGTACATCTATCTGAAGCCCTACGTTCTGCAACAGAAGCTATTGTAGATATAGTGAGTTCTAAGTAATTTTAAATATTTTAGTTATATTATTTGACGGATGGTGACTGGTAGTAGAATCCTGGATGCACCTTTCTGAGTCTCGTCAGCTGGACCTGCTTGCAATCCTCAGAGTGATGACGTTCATTCTAAACAGTGGGTGCCAGGTTGGAGTCTCAGTGGGAACGCCACCAGTCACTAGGGTGGGATTGCAGGAACATCAAGCCGACGACTCCCGAATAGGACGAAATGCACATCCTGAATTTCAATGCTAGTCAGTATCCCCCAAATAACATGTTATTCCTTGGATATTGTCGAAGCATCCGTACTAGGATCCGACATGTCAACGGAGACTGGACATTTTGGTTCGTTATTATCAGTCAATGAGAAATACTAAATTGGGTTTAACAAATCTTAGTAATATGTTTATTTTCCAATTAAGCAATGTTGGTTTGATGCATGTAGCTTGAATTTACTGTGTTTCATAGAATAATTTCTAGTGGTGAATAGTGTACTGTTTTATTTCCAATGTAACATATTGTTTTTGACTGTAATACCTGCACTTTAACAATGGCTCCGAAAGCACATTATCGTCTTGGATGTTTGCCTGCTTTATACTTGGCGTTGTTATTTTCTTCGTTTCCTTATCACATTCTTTTTTCCCCGTAGCCTGTAGTTTATTCACCACCATCCAAACCATCATTTCTATTTGTTAGTCCTTTGCATTGATTTTGAAGTTGCGATAATTTGGATTCCTTTTCAGTGTATGTCGCTTGTTACGTCACTAGATCTTGTCTATTTTATACAAAATGATTGATACAAGAAATCAAGAAAGGGTGCAGATTTTTGATCATAGGTATTTTTCTTCAATTGCTCATGTTAGGTAGAAAGTAGTAGGTAATTCTGGAGTCAGGCATATTGTGTAGATAGAAGTGTGGTGGGGTTGCTCATGATGCTATGAATCAATGCTAAGATACTTTCAATAGTAGATGTATTCATTTGTGATCATCAAACTTCTGAACTTCTTCAATAATCTAGATGTGATTATTCTCTAACTCACTGGTTACATCCTTTGAATGGAGATGAAACAAGCAATTGTGCAGAATTATATGGATCCGCCTTATTTTGTCGGTTCTTGTTGACTGCGTACAAAGTATAATATTTATTAGAATCAGTTATAATACAACTTAATGTGCATTTTGTTTATCATCATGTATCAGTTCTTCAGTAAGAATTGTTGTAAGAAAGTCATAGTGAAACAAAACAGAAGGATGATGATAGAATTATCTCAAATTACTAGTATATATATATATATATATGGGGTTCGATCCCCCGGTCGACGCACTCCTAAACCTCTCTAGGCCGGTAATAAGACCGTTGAAGAGGGAAGGTTGGGCGTTGAGGCTAGTAACGCCATCCCGTAAAAACAGACACCGCTGCTACCAAAACTTCAAAGCTCTAGTGTGAAGCCCACTGTTCCACTCGGAACGTGAAGTAATAATATATATATATGCATATATATATATTATATAATGGAAGTTTCTCATGAAAAATGATGAATTTTGTTGTTAGGTTGGTGATAAGTTAGTGATAATTAGGTAATGAGAGATAATAAAGTGCAGTGGTTAAAATTCATAAGGTTGAAAAACCAAGTCTAATATGAAAGTCAAGAGAAAAACAGGAGGTGGTTTGAAAAATGATGAAATCAGAAGACAGAGTTAATAAGGAGAGAATTATATGGGGTAACTGAAGTTTCGCGATGGATTCCTTTGGAACATATAGGTCAGGTTTCAGTCATCTTATGATGATAGCCTCAGAAAACCGAAGAATACTTGGACTGTTTTGTCCGTTAACTATTTTGAATGCTGTCAGTGTGTCCGCTCGGTGTCCTCTGTCTATTAGGTATGTTTGGTAATTGACGAGTTCAGACTACTCGGTCCCTTTAGTCGAAGGCTCTTTAGTTTATTTTCAAGAAATCTGTCAGTGTAACTGCACCTACAGTTACACGTGAGTCAGTAACATATGGAGGGTGCTTGTCAGTTTTTGGCCGTGCCAACGAATAAGATGTTCGAAGTAAAGAGGCTAGTTTTGATGCTGGATACGTCCTAGTCATTGCTGCACATAAACGTTTATTTATCATCGTCATATAATCATCACCTTTGAAGTCAAGTTGAATGAAAATCGGTTTCTTGCTGACTGTAATGGTGTCTGGATTTTTGTATTCTTTCTTGTATTTGTTGGTGAAACTTTGTTAGTAACCATTTTCTTTTGGGCATTTTTCAAGTAATGGGAGTTCACTGTCTAATTTATCTGCTGAACATCTTCGTTTTACCCTTCAGAACACCATCTTCACCAGCTTTCGTTTATAGGTGACTTGGCAGAAACTGTTGAAATTCAGGTAAAGGCCCCAACTCGCGTGTCCTGGAGACAAATTAATTTTCTGAGTACTCCGTGTTTTCTTTTCTTCAAACCGATATCCAGGAAGTGGAAACTGCCACTATCTTCGTGTTACATTGTGAAGTAGAGGCTTTCATGTACATTGTTAAATGACTCAGATCACTGCATAAAATGAATATGTCATTTAAGTATCCGTAGTAGGTTGTTATTTCGTCAGCTGCACACTTAAGCCATAGAAATATCTGCTAATACAGGACGAAATAGACTTACTTGTATTGTAATTTCAAAACTGTTTCAACACTACGCAATGCAATGCCGCAAACCTATGTAAACCTGATTTTTTTAGCTATGCGATTGTGGCACATGCCAAGTAATTCACAACAGAAAGCTTAACAAAGCTTTTGAAGTGAAGAAAGCAGTAACCGAAAGCCAATGAGTTGGCTGTAGTAGCAGCAGCGAAGAAAGGAATTCAGAGCATAGAGAAGATAGAGGTGATGAAGATACCCGACCAATAACAACAACTAGCACCATTCACCATGGACAGGAGGAATCTAAAGATAGTAATCTCATTCACTTACCTGATCTAGACAGCATCGTCTTGAGAATATTGATAATCTCTAAGCCGACCGGGATCAGGAAAGGACAGGCATTCTCAATCTAAAATTAGTGTGGAGATATACAGTACTCAGTTGAAGGAGCAATATCCGAATTTTTAACACTAATGTCGAGTCAACTGACACGTGCATCACCAAAACATTTTCAATCATTTGCTGCAGACTTTCATAAACACCTGCCTTCGCTCGATACTGAAGATCAGATGGCGAGGAAGGTTAAGAAACAAGTATTCTGGTGGCGAGCTGACTAACAAGCTATTGATCGATAAATGTATAGAAGTGAATAGAGGTGGGTGAGACGTAAGCTGAGGATAACTTCAAGTGACATTACACTACCGTCTTTTGCGTGAAATATGAATGAGAAGTGGCTGATTGAATGTCGATGGGTGAGACATGTAGGAGATCATATGGCGAGGAAGCGAGAGTCTGTGGAAAGTTATGAGGCCAACTGAAACTGACAGCATAGAACGGATTGCGGCTGAAGCCTTATTTTCCACTGGTAACGTAATGAATGGATGATTACGATACTTAATTTGTTAGAATATGTCTTAAACCTTTCTTATCATCATAACGTAAGTGGTTGACAGTCTGTTGGAGGGTCTGAGGGCGAAATGGTTCTGCTGCCAAACAGAGATGTAATAGTAGTTAAGTGTTTCCCTCGGACGTTGTCATTTATTCTCACTTTTATTCTTCCTTTCTAACGAAAGTATTTTTAAAATATTTGACTAAGAAGCATATATATATATATATATATATATGTTCAACATGTTTATCTCTATGAAAATTTACTTTTAGATACCTTTTGATATGGCCTTAACACAACTACAAACTGCTTTAACTACTCCAGTGGCAAAAACACAAGCCGAAACGTTAAATCTGTTAACTCATCTCTTCTGTACAAGTAAACGGAAGTATGAGCTTCAATTGAATCAACGCTTAAAAATTGTTAAACCAATTCTATCTAATACAGCTAAATTCTCTGAGCATAAAAGTCAAGAATGTCGAGATGCTTGTTTTCAAATGTTTGCTTCAATTTGTATCTTTTTGGATTTTACTAGTCAACAATTCTCTTCTATCATTGATAATATACTGGATGAATCACGACGTTCCAAGGTGGATATTGCCTTATTGCATTTACGTAAAAGTATATCAACTGAAAATATTGAAAATGAGCATACAAACTCAGAGAAACCAAATAAAACAGTAAAACCTAAAAGTTCCTACACTGAACAACAACAAAAACAACAACGACACCAACAGTTGATAGATAATCCTGACTTTGGCATTACTCGTAAGTTAACGTTTTTGTAAGTATAATTCACAGAATATTTTAAACTCAAAGTATATCACTGCAGACTATATATCAAATTCGGTGCATATGTGCAGATATTATCAGTATAAGATCTAGTATTATTGCGTAGTAATGTAAAGTATCTATGATCTGGATGTTTATTATCTTTGTGTGTGTGTGTGTTAAGAATCCCACAGAAGATGAATATCTGGTCAGTACACACACATAGTCGGATATTAGCTTTGCTTGGTATTTTTCTAACCAGTTAAATTTTAGCTCCATATGTATTACGATTATTTACTTCAGAATTTTAGAAGCTATTTGCCAACCTAAGTTGTTTGTTACTGTCACGAAGAGCGTTTTGTTTCCTGTTTTTTGGAGAGTGAGTTAATCAGCAATGAAGACTGGGCTAGGGTCCTACCTAGTTCATATACCCTTAGCTAAACTTCCAGTCAGTTTGTTGTCTTGAGATACCACGGGAAAAAGCCACGTTAGACTCTACCCTCCTCCACTTTAATTTACTTCCTCAGCATCTGACAGCACTACAGGTTTTTATGTCAACGTCCCATGTCTGTTTTATCAATAAGCCCAATTGATTAACACTCCATAGAAAAGTGGCCATGAATGGTATTTTGTCTTTTTATACCTTTAAACAGTTTTTCTCTGGAAGATTATATTTCTCAGACCCTTGGCGCTGATCAAACTGAATTGGTATCTACTTCCACTCGAATCACTTTTGTGATTACAAATCCGATGTAGACTCTATCATGGTTTAGTATCTTTCGGAGAGTCAGTGAAAGGTATGAAACACTAGACAGTCGTCTCATCTTAGTTCAGGAGTCTTCAGCTACTCACACCCAGGATTGTCAGTCTGTGGGACATGCATACTATCACTTGGTCACTGAGACGGAATTCAATGATCCATGAGTTCTATCTTCTGCTGATTCTCAGCATATCGCCAATACCGTCGATGAACATTCTCTTCACTTATTTATTGGTGAACCCCATTCACCACAATTTCGCACTAGAATATCACGACATCCAATATAAAACCTGTAAATAATAGTAACGAAATAGATGGGACCATGAATATGTGTTGCTAAAATGTCCCAGAGCAGTCCAATGCTCCTTGGTGTTCTTCGATCAATGATTTTATAATTGATGCCGCTCCTTGACGACATCTGCATTGAAAATAATCAAATGCTTACAAACCCTAAATCTGAATGTGCATCCAGATAGCCAACGGGTACATCATCTTTTATTTTTGTTTTATGTATACATGCACGGAGTTCATTACTGGCAGCATCATTTATATTCTCGTCAATGAAAATTACGATTCAGAAATGAGTAACCAAAAGTTTTGAACTTGAGTTTGTAATTTCAAAATATTTTATACTAGGAACTCGTTTTTGTTTTGTAAAAAATATTTCCTGTCTCTATCTCTCTTAAAAATTCAGCCATCAAATCATCACCTAGAATAGCCAATAAGCCAAACAAAGGAAACAAACAACTGACAACATTTCAAAGACAAAATCATTTATCGACGAGTACACCATTTTCAGAAGTTCGTAAGGTGACTTCACGCAATGTTAAGCAGAATAATAAGATAATAACGCCTAGTGTTGCAGAGGGGTCTGTGTCGTTACAACGTGCAGGAGCGAAACCACCATCAGCAGTGGTTATTAAGAAAGCTGCAAACAAAAGAGTTGTGCAATCAAAAGCTCAAAAGTGTGCAGCACAAGATTTGAATTTGTCGTCTGGTCAGCTACGGTGTAGGCTGTCAGAGTAAGTTGTATGTATATCTAAATTATGCATATGTAGAAAAATGCAAAGGAAGTTAATATAGAATTGTATTTGTTGTGTAAATTATTTGAGAAAGTTTAGCCCAATCGGAACCCATTTAATCTCCGTCAACTGTACTTTGGATACAGAGAATTGTATATCAAATAATGGAGAGATTATTTTTGACGGTATTTTGAGCAGCAGTGCAGGGGTGTTCAAAGTACCTTTCAACGAGCCGACAACAGTGATAATTCATTCTTATTATTCATTAGGGTTCCTAGTAGAAGGTGAGGTTTCAACAGCACATCTCATTTTCTTTCTGTTCACTGCAGTTTTTGTCATTATTGGCTTCACGATTGCCAAAAGATTTCATTTCCTTCTCACACGATCATTTCTACTGTCACTCTCGGATGCCCACTATGTGTTCGACTGGAGGGTCTTGCCCGTGATTCTACTCAACAATTTCCTCTGAGTATCTCCAGTCCATTTCCTTTCTCTATTGTTTACTTGTTAGGTGATAGATTCTTGGTTGGTTTGATGAAAGTCTGCAGTCTGCGGGCGATGCTCTTCATGACACGCCAGAGTTATGAATCAAATGAAGGTAGTGAACTGACATTAGAGCTGCGAATTCTGATTTTGTTTCTTGTGTTAAGTGTTATTGATTTCGTAACTGATTTTAAAGTAATGAACCCCTATCTTGCTTTCCTGAACCTATCTGTCTCTGATATACTTATCCGTACCGTCTATGATTGCAATGATGCTGCCGAGGTAAGTGGAAATATCCAGTTTCTTCATATTTCTCCTGTAGATAGTGTTTGGTACTTGTTATTGTTGGTTAGGTATCTTCATCACCCCTATGTTTTCTGTATTCACTTGAAGAACCTCCTTCATCGCCTGCATCGTCTACCAACGTTTCAGTGTTCACTTATATTATCTTCGAGTTTGTTAGACAAAGTCTTGATATTCAAGAGTGTTTTCTGTCAGTCCAACGTAGAGCCGTCTTCTCTCTCCCCAAGCCGATAAAAATGACTAATTCAGTGTTGGCGTTGCTTGAAGCTGATTCGTTCACTGTGTACTCCAAACGGCGTACAATTAAGAGTGGAGATTATGAGTGAGTGAGTATCTAGAAATTTCTAAGCCAACATAAAAACATCTAACCACTCTGCATTTTTACTCGTTTATTAGGTGTAGGGAAACCTCTGCAAATATTCAAACTAAAGAACAATCATTTTTTATTCTTCATTTTTAGGGGATATTTAGAGAATGTGCCATTAGAACAGTTAACTAATCCCACTTGGAAGATTCGCTTACAGGTTGCTGAACGTATTCATTCGTTGATCAATTCTAACCCACCAGGATTTCCTGATGTGCATTATTTATTGCAGTACATTTTAAATTGTGGTACTGTGAAAGACAGTATCTTCCGTGTAAGTCATTTTTATTTTAAGTGTTTTGTTGTGAATGCCTTTATGTTAATTATTCTCACATGGGATAATAACAAATTGAAGCTATTCCAGCTAAAAGTAGAAATATATGAGATCTATTTAGAATATATTTGAAAAAGTATCCTATGTTGTTAGACGACCTGAGCTGCCTTTGAAGAAACTGTTTTATGAGTCATGTACATCTTGTTTTCGTTCCTTTGCCTTTCGTATTGGTTCGTTCGTTCACTGTGGTCGGCTCGTGGCAAAATCGACATTGAAATTTGTCATTTTGTCACTTATTAATTAATGTATAAGATTATCAAAGCAAACACAGCCTTTGATGCAGTTTGATCAATAGCTGCACAGTATATGTGCTTTGAATTTTAATACTACCATTTGATGAATAAACAACAGTCGGAGCGTATCGAATTTAGGTGAACTGAAAGCATTAGATTCCTTTCTTTTTAAATGATGAGGAATACATGTAATTGGGAATGTAAAAGCAACATATAAGATCTAAATTGCTTCTCCTTACCAGTATTTAACTAGCGACCGTCGTTTCCCGTTTCTTTGCATTCCGAATCATACGTCGTGTTTCAAGCTTGAGCTTTGCACTCTCAGTAGCGATAGTCTTATTTTGTCTTATTTTACTGTATGGGTTTTGCTACCATCCCTTCTAACCATCCCCCTTCACTAATGGGTGTACTGCTGGCTAGGTGAGATTTAGGAATGTGTCGGTTGGAAGTCGAACTTGGGTAACGTTTATCGTTTGTGAGCATGCTATAATTGAACCACCGACTTGACCGTCTTAAGATGGTTATAACCGATTGCCTGCATATTGCTATTGAGTTTGTGGCATTTTTCATAAGCCATGCTGACGTAGACCGTCCCTGATAAGAAACAACTATCAACTGTACATAATAATACATAGTGCTGGGAATTTCTAAGATTAAAATCACTTTTGACTCTTCCTATTTTCAGGTTCGTTGTGAAGTAATAAATATTTTATCAGAGTTATTATCGCAAAATAAGTCTCAAAATTGGATTCCTGCTCAGTTGTTAGAAATGTTATGTGACCAGTTGTTCGCTTCAATTGGTGATTCGAAATCAGGTCCTCTAGTTGAACAAACCCTCCGACATTTGATGAATATTATAGGGGTATCAAAAATTGTTGAGTGTATTAATAAAGGATTGAAGAAACAGATTTCTCCTACAGTTCATTCTTCATTATTGAAATGGTTGAGTTCAGTGTTGAAGTCTCTAGACTGCAGGTAAGATGTTTTATACTCAGTGTTTTTTAATACAAGAGTGACTGAAACATTGTAGGAAGCGTTTGTATATAATCAGTCTCTCATTGGTTAACTATTTAAAGTGGCTTATGTAAGACATTTTGTGTTCTTTCTTCTTTCTGTTGTAAGTTGCGTGTAATATCTAAGAGTGGCTGGTCCCGATAGGTTTATGTATGCCAAATGAGCCTTTTGTGGTGGTGCTGAGATTTCGTCAGCAATGAATCCATTAGGGCTGATACAGCACTCTCAGTACTTGGAGAGCAGTGCAACTGACCTACCTTCAGTGCAAAACTCATCTGAATAGATTTTTGCTACCTGTCGTCTAACTGCAACCGAGACGTCTTATCTAGAAGGAGTCAAAGCAGCAGGACTTGATGTTATGACTGGAGAGAGGTTTAAGGATAGAGTGAACTGTTAAAAGTTGTTGTGAGTATGAAGCTAAGGACATGAGGTGTTATTTATTTTTATCGTTGTGTAAAAGACAAAGATGAAATAGGACACTTAACACTGTTCAGTTTTTCTTCAATGAATATATAGTTTTCATCAGTCGTTACTGTACACTAATTTTTGAGGTGTTATTATTTGATCAGTTTACTGTGTTTAGACGACTTCATCTGTTACTGGGTTCTGCATACCGATTGGTTGAACTGAAGGAGAGCAATTTTACTGCTAGTCTGTTTAATACTATTGCCTTGTACACCGCTTGTATATGGCTTAATAATGCATCCCCCATCATTGTTGATTTGATTTTGTAGTGAGACGGTCTTTGTGATCAATTAATCCTTATATTTTTCATTTATTTACAGTTTCGACCATGTATTGCCTATAGAAATTGTAAAATTCGGACTTGCATCTTCTTCACCTAATGTGCGTAATATGGCAGTTGAATTGGCTGGTGTCATTCATTATCGCTTACGTTCTTCGATCAATATTCTTTCATTGTTTGCATCTGAGAAACCAGCGATATTACAACGTTTACAAGCAGAGTTTGCTACGTATGATGTAGAAGAAGAGAGTGTTGCTTCACCTGAACATGTAAAAAATGATCAGTCAACTTTCTCTGGTATGGAATGTCTTACTCCAGCTGCTGTTGAGGCATGGTCAAAAAGGCAAAAGAGGTTGACAGCTGTGCTAGGAAATGTGGCTCCTTTAGACAGACTTGCTGATGCTCAAGGTGTTTTAGAATTTTCTGATTCTAGTGAGAGTCCAATTACGGGCAGAAAATCATCACCATACAAGTGAGATAGTGTGAATAGTTTTGTTTTGTTTTTTGCTCTTTCAAACATCCAGTTATTTGTAGCTGTTGTACTTCACTTTGTAAAGGAGATAAGACGTTTAAAACTAACTTTGCGGTCACATCAAATCCCCCATGGCCTGCAGGTTTATTATAAATCCATTAAAAGGGATTAGTTAAGATCGTGATGGGAATAGTATTTGGCTATACACATCGAATTGCACTGATGACACCTTCCGTTTATTTTCCTGCATATAGGACTTGGATTTAAAAGCCTCTTTTTATCAACAAACAGCGGTTATTACTATTTAACGACACAATGTGCAGGGAGGTGAAGGGTTTTAAATTTAATAAGATGGAAATTGTTATTGGACATGAAATCAGGTAGAGGTAGTTGTTGAGTGTTCACTTGATTGACAAGTGTGAATGTGAGCAAAGAATAACTAGTAAAAATGCACAGAAGGAATATGTAAGAGTGATAGTAGTAACAAATGACTAGAAAATAGAAAGAAACAAGTGGGAAAGTGTTTAAGACCATGGTGTAGAATACGATACTGAAGAAGGGTTTCCTAAACAGAGTCAGGGGTTATATTTAGCAATCGCTAGCTCCTCTGCCATGCACAAGTGCCAAAACATAACGCACTCTGGCGGAGTTCCACTGGGGTTGTCTTTTAAATTACCTACAAAGTAAGGTGGAATAGTATAAAGAGTCACTTCAGTGTGTGTTGATGAATTCACGTCTTCTTGTGGAATTATTTACCCACACAAAATGCGCGCCTTACGCATCTGTGAAAATTGTTGCTATTGTATAATTTCAATAGCATTTAATTGAAAATGTTGTAGTAGTCCTTGTCCGTGAACCTCACCCCTGATCCTTTTATCAGGCCACAATATAGCGATTTTACTAACCGTTGTTCTCGCTTATTCAAATTCATATGGGGACATAATTGTATAGAAGTTGAGGTGGAATAAAAAGGAGACTAGGAGTTAAATAGCCTATTGTGATTGGTAGTTTCAGTTGTTGGAATTCATTTTAATGAAAGCCGTATATACAAGTAATGCATACTGCCAGTAGTGAAGTATGCCGACGTGAAACTCTACAGTGACTTGTTTTTCCTTCCATGTCCTAAACGCACCTCATCATTGTGGAATCAATAAACTTGACGACTACAAAGATATGTATGTATGAAGTGGTCGTTTGTGCGATTGGTGTGTACGTGTGTTTGTGTGTGTGTGTGTGTATAAATCGCTTGATAAGTAGTAACTAACAATATGACTTTTCTGTGTACTGATCGTGATTTCCGATCAACTATGCAGTTTAACCACTGATTAATGAGCCTTCTTTATTCTCAGTACATAAACACTGTAGGGTCAGTTTTATATTTTGTCTCTCCTGAAAAGTTATCTTGGTGGTCTACGTAGGTCTAGAGTATGTAGGTGCGTATAGTTTTAAATTTCCCTTATAATATGCAATTCTCGAATGATAAATATATATGGATAAAGATTCCTGAGGACAACGAAATAAAACAAATACACTATTTTGCCAACTTGATTTTATATTCACAGGAAAGGTGTTATCGAGGCTGTAGTTCGGCAACCTTTACAAGCTGTAAACGTGAATTCCAATCAACCCCCTCCAACAACTCAGCTAACTAGCTCATATAACTGTGACACTATTTTCTTCATTGAGTCAAATGATGAGACAAGTTTACTGCAAGCCAAAGAAATGCGTTTGACCAGTCTCAAAAAAGTGAGTACCCTTTTTCTCTCTGTGTATAGTAAATATAAAGTGATATTATCAACATCTTTTCCGTTTTTAACAGTAAGTTTTTTTTAAACTATCGTAGTGTGTGTTGCAACTTTGAAATGCTGGTTTTCTCTGTTAGTTATAGATTTTGTTTCCCAGTCATTCTCCGAAGATTTGAGTGTTTAGTTTTGTCTTGTTTTCGTTAACTGCGTACTGTTGTGGATCATGGGTATATTCATATTCTGTGTTGTTCTATTCCACGGTCTTATGATCCAGAGATTATTGTTTCTGTCAGTAAGTTGTTTCGCTTATCCTTCTATCTGAAAGCGACTGGTTATCTCTCCTTCAATAAAATGAAGATGGTCAGCTGTCAATGTGATTATCACACTGGAAAGTTTGTCATATCTTTGATTCCTTAATTTCGACTATCAGTAAATCTAAATTTTCTATCTCCTGAATCTCCATTATCACCGGGTGCTTTGCCATATTTATAATCTGGATGTTCTGGCTTCGATCCCTGGTTGAGTCATGTGTGTTTACTGCTGAGGAGTCTCAGGGAATCTTCTAACTGATATCAGTTGACGATCCAACTTCAGTTCAGGATTTTATCGTAATCTTTTCTGACTGTAGGTGGACATGCAAGAGGTAATTACTTTCCATTGAATAGTTGACTGTTTTAGCCAGAATTACAATGAGTGTTTATGAACATTGAACATTGTATTGCAAGTGACTATTATTGATCTGTTTGTATACTTCCTTAAGATATATGTATACAAAGCAGTACTATTGGAGTCATATCTTCATCCCTAATTGAATCACCAACCATGATGAGTTAGCACACACAAACTTATGTGAAGTAATATACATATTAGGTTGCTGTCAGATTCGGCTGAAAGTGGTTGGTTTTTTAAGAGGAGACTCAAAGATTACTAACTAATAACTTTCTATTGTCAGAAAGTCAATTCATACATTTTCTCCTGTTTTACATGTTTCTTTTCTTTTTCTTCAACCCATATCAGCGTGTAAACAGAAGTCCAGATGAGCTGCGCAATTTCTTCACTGAATGTCATACTCATCCGAATCTGATGAAACGGTTATTTTCAGAATCATATGAATGTTATCTGGAAGTACTTGATCGATTAATGGCTTCATTAGATAATAAAAATGAAAATGTGCAAACAAAACAGCCATCAACTGTGATTATTACTTATGCACATTTTGACTTACTTCTAATGTGGATTGTACAATACTGTTTGGAATTATGGTTAAATGAAAGTATTGGAAAGTGTGAATACCAGAATGTAAAGGATATTTTAATTCGTAGTAAGTTATGCACCTGAACTCTGTTTATGCTGTGTAGGCTATTCGCCAATGCTTTTGAGGGTTTTATTCTTGGATAAGATTCGCGTTTACTTCATTCATCCTGTTATAGTAATACAATAATTGTAGAGTTCAGAGTAGAAACAGCGTTTTCAACATGGTCAAGGACCTATAACCGAAGAAATATGTAGAGGTGAATTCGACGCACACCATGGGGATATTCCAGTGACATGATATACAACATAGGCCATCAAGTGGAAGCTCTCATCTGTCCATCGCTGTGAACTGAATTCTGATTAAGTCTCATCAATATCAGAGCGTCTTACTAAGACTTGAATAAATCTTAATTTGGAATAGTTATGTTGCATGAGCGTACGTACAGTAATGACAATATATGCAAACTGCCTTAAGTTGAAACTTCAATTTACAAAAGGCAGTTCGCATTTTGCCCGTATTTCCTTTGATTCACCTGTTTGCAAATTAATCCATCATTCGCCTACTTAAGGTTTACTTCCATCACAGAATACGTTGTCAACATGCTACTCACAAAGCCTATTAGTAGCATGTAGCATTCTTTCAGTGATAGAGATTTACTTTAATATGCATGAAAACGACACTTTCGAAACGTTGATATGTATATTCGTATATTTTTCTAATTGTTGTACTTTCTTCTTTCACAGCGTTTGACTACTTGACAGCAGTGCTGACATTATTTGCTCAGAATGATTTAAGACTGAGTGAATACGAAGTGAATTTAATTCTAATTCCACTATTAAAATGCGAATTGCAAGCAATGTTCGTATACAGGGATTTATTTATTCATAATGCTGCATCTGGTTTAGTGCGTGTTATACGTCAAGTATATCCTGCAAGTTTACTAGTGGATATATTGGTTAAATATATGCATGAATGTGGTGCTGCGAAAATGCGACAGAGTAAGTTCAATTGGTTATATCAACACTTATAATCTTTGCTATTTGTCAGCGCATTACGGAAAGAAAGGAGTAAAACAGCAGTTTTGTTATGATACTGAGATGATGAATGAATTTTTTAATTTTTTGTTCAGATTTATGCTTTTTTTTACTACAACATCATCTCTGGCGTAGACGTGGTGTTCGACTATCGCTCACCATACAGTTCAACTGCTAAATGGCTGGTGGAACGTTTACAGCCGTTGCATAAGAAAAGTAGCGTAAAAGATAGTTTTGAGTTTGTAGAAAGAATCAAGGAATTAAATGTGAAGGACTAATATCTGATATCACTGAGTGCGTCTTCCTTATTCACCAATGCGCCTTTGATGGAAACAATTGATTACGTAGGTAATGAATTGATAGAGCAAGGTGTAGAGGTTGGAATTCCTGTGCCTTCCCTAAAGGAACTTCTCTTAAGGTGTACAATGAACGTAAACTCCCTGTTCAATAAAGAAATGTATGGAGAATCGGGTGGTGTTGCCATGGGATCACCACTTGGCCCAATCCTAGCAGATTTTTTCTTGGCAAAACTAGATAATGGTCCACTTAAAGATGTAATATATATATATATATATAATCTTGATTTCTATTGCCGGTATGTTGATGATACATTTATAGTTATTAAGAAAGAAAGTGAGGCTAAGGACATATTGGATAAATTCAATAGAGCACATTCCAGCATAAGCTTCACTGAGGATGAGGAAGAAAATGACTATCTCCATTTTGGACGTCCTAATAACTAGACGAACAGACAGAGGAATATGTAGACGTTTGTGTAGAAAACCTACTTCCATTGGACAATATGCTCACTTCCTGAGCTTCGTACCTCTACAATACAAACGTAATCTGGTTAGATGTCTGGTTCACCGGGTTAGAGTTATTTGTTCAAATGAGACACTGTACGAAGAACACGGTGATATTCGCAATCTATTAAGTAGAAACGGATATCCAACTAAATTCGTAGACGAATACATGAACTCAGAAAGTAAAAAGTCAAAGTTGCCGACTGTCCCCAAAAAGTCAATCTTCCTGAAGTTACACTTCATGGGTGATGTCAGTATTGAGATCTTATCACAACGTTTGAGAAGGGCGTTCATAAGAACTTCCTATGCAGCTAAGCTATGCTGTATATTCACTAGCCGACCAGTACTTAGTTCAAGAAATAAAGACAGACTGGTCTGTTTTGCCTCTTCCATGTGTATTTATCAGTTTAACTGCCCGTGCGGAGGTAGTTACATGGGGCTTCTCTTATATGCCTCACTTCCTATCTGAAAGCATAAAAACCTACCGAAATCTGGATTAGTTGACCCGAATAAGATAAGAAATCTAGAGAATAGTTCAGCCATGGCACTACATGCAATTGCACACAACCATACAACAGGATGGGATAGGATGACAGTTTTAAAATCTAATGTCACAGGGTGGAGGAAGAGATTGATAACAGAAGCTTTGTTTATCGAATCAACTGCAAACACGTGTAATAGGAATGATTCAACACATGTCCCAGATATCCGGAAAATCCTACTACTCCTACGACAAATAGGAGGGAACAAAGGAAACTATAAAAGTCAAGTTTCGAAGTCGTGTGATTATAATTGATATGATTATGAACAATAAATTTTGTTCGAAACATCATCCAGTAAATAATACTGTCTCACTGACTGATACATCTAATAAATAAACTAATATGGTATCCTATTTGTTATAAGTACGTAAATGTAATTCACTAATCACTTTGTTCCACACATCAGTACTGTTTGGTATGTCTTTGTCCCTTCTCAAAGCATAGTTGCCTTTATATTGTTGTCTTTGTGTAACTTTATTATTCCTCTGTATTTTAGAAACAGGTAAAGTTTACCACCAAAGTTATAACTCTGGTGGTGTCTAGACTCTGTAACGTCATAACCGATAGCGAGGACAAAATATCTGTAGACAAATTTAATCCTACATCCAGTTGTATTCATAACACTGTGAAGTATTCTCATTTCGTTGATCTGTTGGGTGGCACACACACCTATTCCATTGAACGATTTTTGAAGCATTTGAACAAGAGGATTGGAGCGATAAAATAAGTTACGAAATCACATAATATACAGTTATCTCGATGATTTGATGCAGAAAAGTGGTTAGACTAGTGCTTAGAATCTGACTGATAAACTTAGAGAACTTCTAAGAGGTTTTCATCCATCTCATATAATTATTTAGTCTTCAACTTGTCTTCTATGGTAGTTTTTATCTAAATGACTGAGAGTCATTTGGTTGGTCATTCTCTTGGGTTGCTATACTCTAGCGTTGTCTCTTGTTGTTGCCGCTTACTGTCCTTTCATCTGCATGATAAGTTGTTCTCTCTTTTTCTTCTCTCTATAGTTTGTCTAGATGAATTAGTCTGTTTAATACCGCGTTTTGCTAATCCAAAGGGATCTACATCAGGAAATGCATTGAAGTCAATTTCACAACAACTTGCTGATTCAGATGCTGGTGTGAAAAAATCTGCATTGGATTGTCTTCAAGCTGCTTATAAATCATTTGGCGCCTCATTTTGGCAACATATTGGAAATGTGAGTTGTATGTTTTATTTGCACGATTACTTGTTTAGTCTGATCAGTCGATCAGTCAACCAATCAATCAATCAATCAATTAGTTGTTATCAGTTTATTTGATGATTATTGCTACTTTATCAAGAATTCATATCTAATCTGTTTATCCTTGAGATGGAAGACGGTGTTGTTTCCCTGTAAACATATCAGTGTTCACACATTCCTTTACTGTTTAATGCATGTAGCCACTGGATGACTTTAAAGGTAATTCGAGAGTAACTAGACCAATAATTCGAAAAGCTTGTGTGATTAGCACGAAGCGCCTAGTTAGTAATGCTGTTATGTGATTGATTATTTACCTTTGAACATGAGATGTTATCAGCAATAGGATATGTTGTAATGTGCACAACTGGTATATTTGCTAGAATGGCATTTAAAGCTACCCCGTCTTGGTCGTAGAGACTTCCAATAAAAACATTTAATCTAAACATCTCCTTTCTTTTGAAATTAGAATTTCAAAATTCATTTCTATAATCAAAAGTTGTACAGGTTAAAACGGATTTTAAGTTCACTGCTATTTTTAACTAGTTGGTCATGTGACTTTTACCGTCGTCTGTAGCATGATATGTTTGCCCCCGAGTAGTAGTCATCTGATGGTCAGACAAGTACGAGGCATGAGAACAAGTTCGGGAAACTAATTCACTATAATCACAGGATTTTATTGTTTGTTTGGATATGTGGCCTATTAGCCTCAGCTAGTGAGTCCTGAGTTCGAGTCCCAGTCCGCCTACTTCATCCTGGGTAACTGGGTATTATCATCAGTCCTCACACAATAGGAGTGGTTTACAGCTTAAAGCATATAAGACTTCTTTTGGGAACTGAGTTCAAAAGAAAAATATCTATGGTTGTGTCTATTCCGTCTACTTTCATTTTGACTAGAATTAGGTATAGAAACTCTGCCATGGTTATCAGTCTCAGATCTTATTGTAAAAGCAACAATGTAGTCTTTGTGGGGAATGGTCGTGCTATGGAACTCATTATCTCAATACGTTGTAATAAACAGAAGTAAATGTTTTATTTGAAAAACTCGAAAATATGCGGATAAGGTTAGACGGTTTTGGTTGTATATGTCTAAACCAAGTTCACTTTTAACAGTTTGAAAAAATTTGGGCATTGGGAATATGATATTCATTAAAATCCAGGATACAACACTATCACAAAGATGACCAGTGAAATAAATAAGAGCTTAAAATTCTGTCTAGAAAGTAATTATTTTACATTTAAAGGGAATTTATATAGACAGACAAATGGTGTTGCTATGGGTTCACCAGTTTCCCCAATAGTCGCTGACCTTTTCATGAATAGATTTGAAGATGACATCTGCTCAAGCAGACTCTTTCCTAAAATATGGTTAAGATATGTAGATGATACTTTTGTAGTGCTAAAACGAGATCTACACAGTTCATTCTTGGAGAAAATAAACAATCTATCCCCCAGAATCCAGTTTACTTCAGGAGCAGAATCAGACGTCGGTGAACTACCATCTCTAGACTGCCTAGTTAAGAGGAGGGAAAACAGACATTTTAATATATCTATATTCAGGAACGATGATTAAGTTGTTATACATAGACTGGGATTTTGTAAATTCTGGTTTGATAATACTTAGACGGTTTGGGTAGGCCTAAACTGAAACAGTCAAACAAGAAATTGTCATACACTGGTCTAGGTGCAATATCTAAGCCTGTTCAGCGTAAATGCGTGACGAAACCTAATCAATCAACAAGGAAACTTAGTTGCATTATGGGTAAATTTTGTTTTGATAAAGTCTCACAGTGTTATACAGTAATGTTTACTGATGACGTTTCGAGCACAATTTATTGCTCATAATCAAATCAAGGTGACCACACAACTTCCTAAATTTATTTATATAGTTCCGTTGTTTTTCACTTGATTTGATTGGTAGTAGTATCTTCCATATTTCGGTAATGAGTGATGAATCATTCCTATTGCATGTGTTGGGTGTAGATTCGATGAACAAGGATTCAGTAATCAACCTCTCTCTCCACCTACCTAGATTACTTTTTAGAATTTTAACCCTCTCCCACCCTATTGTGTGGTTTTGTGTGTTAATGCATGCATTGCAATTGCCGAGCTTTCTTCTAAATTACTTATCTTCTCGGGGTCAACCATCCTTACCTTAGCTAAATTCTTATATCCTGACAATCTGACTCGGTTGGTCGGTCGGTTTTCGACATAGAACATTGCACATATGTGCGACAGTTCAAGTCGCCACACTCCATGTACCACACAAAGCAAGAGAAATTAGGAGAAATGCATAACATAGACAGTAAACAAAGGTTTGAGACAAAGGAATAGTAATAACGAAGAACAAAACAGTTTCATTGGAAATCATAAGTCATAAGGAGTGGATGCATCTGCGCCACTGAGAACGATTTCGAGCCATGTCACCAATTGTTTCCAACCATTGGTTTTCACCGTCCCGAGGACCCTAACCAGGAAGTCTACACCTTCCTACGTTGCTTAGACTAACCGTTGTGGATTTCATTGACTGGTGCCATGTTTTCGTTTGACCGCCGCTAGCTCTTTTCCAGCCTGACCCTATATCAGCTAACATTGCCTGCTGTCGAGGAAGGCGATGACTAGGCATACGTAACACATGTCCTTACCATCTCAGTCGATGTAATTTCACAGCCTCGTCTATTGACTTCCCCTCCTTACCTAGCACTCGACGCCTAACCTCAATATTGCTCACCTTATTAAACCACTTCACACGGGAGATAGAAAGCAGGCACCTTTGATCAAAGACAGCTAATCTTTTCATGTCTTCCGCTCTCAATGGCCAGGTCTCACAGCCATAAAGGAGGACGGAGCGGACTGTTGAGCAGTATACACGCCCTTTGGTCGATAGTCGGATATCGCGTCTACTCCAGAGGGCGTAAACTGGTATATGCGAACCTAGCCCTCTGTATCCGTGCTGAGATTTCGTCGGCGATCAACCCGTTGGGGCTGATGGTACTTCCCAAGTAAGTGAAGCGGTCAACGTGCTCTACCACTTCACTTCCTATTTCTAATCTAGGGGTCGGTGAAGTCCAATCCTGCAGCATCATCTTACATTTTACAGGGACGAATCGCATGCGGAACTACCCCTAACCTACTAGTTTGACCTATATGGTTGACCTCACAGTCATTGCAGGGTATTTTGTAAATTATATTATTTTGTCTAATTGGGTCAACTGGATCCTTTAACCTACAGAGCCTGTCCCTGAGTGAGTTTGTAGGTTTAAATGCCACGGAACTATATAAATGAATTTAGGAAGTCGTGTGATTACCTTGATATGATTATGAGCAATAAATTGTGCTCGAAACATCATCAGTGAACACTACTGTATAACACTGTGAGACTTTATCAAAATAAATTCTACCCATAATGGAATAACACTCTACCACAGTGCACAAGTTCTATTCTTATATCAAGGAAACTTACATTATTCCACATTGAAGTCATCTATGGTTCTGATTGCTTGTAATACAAAATCACATGCTAGAGCGATCCAGTTTAAATAGGGGTTTCTCATTTCCCATGATTGTATTCTTTTTCAAACCCTATAATATTTATTATTATTGTTACTCGTTCCTTGCGTTCTGAGTGGAGCATACAGCTTCAGCAACATATCTGTATTTCACTGTGTTCTCAGCGGTCACTTTCAGCTTCCTCCACGTTTATTTACAAGCCTTATTTCCTCCCCAGATGATCTCCATATTAGCATTGGATGTCGAAGACGTTACCTCTTTTGGGAGCCACTGAATAACTTGGCGTATGAAGTCACTTGAATGTCTCCTCAGCATATGTCCGAACCACCTCCATTCTGTTTCAATAATCGTGTTGAGAGAATTCAATGCCTACTGCGTAAAACAACCATTACACCTTAATGATTCATTTTGTGTTTGATGATTATGATTTTGCTTCGTTTTGTTTTAATTTGAAGTTGATCACATTTATAATTATGCTTCTGATATGTTGTGTTGTGTTGTCCAACTAAAATGTTATTCAGATTGGAGAAAAAGATAAGAAATTGCTTGAAGAATATTTGTCTTCTGAAGGTGAACCTAATACAGCTGCCCTACCAACAGACAACTTTGATACTTTCTCAACAAAAACACCATTTGGTTCTATCATTACCAAAGATTCGACAATGAATGCTCATCATACACTTGATTTTAATCAGTGAGTCTTTTCTTTTATTTTGTCTGCTATATCTTAGCTGCTTTATATTGTATTTTACTGCGTGTAATTATCATCAATATGACTATGTGAAGTTTAATTTTCAATAATGATAATAATAGTTTACTTTTTCTGAAAAAAGAATACTTATAATACAGTTTGGAATTCACAGGGAATTTGATACAATGCTATGTGAGACTATGAAAAGCATATTGAGAAATCAAGATTCTAGGAATTAATGACTTTGGAGAAAAAATTGGTGATATAGCGCAGATGTATTCGCTTTCTGTGATCTGCCTTATCCATTATAAACCCTGTTGTTTCTCTCTCTCTGTCTCCCTCCCTCACATTTCTGCGTATTATCGTTCTTTCGAATCGCTATTTTATCTCTCTTATCTTCATTTGTGTGCTACATGTGTAGTGGGGCAACTCGAACTGCTGTACTTCTGAACAGCTTTAAAACCAGTCAGCCGGTGAATCCATTGATATGATGGTAGTAGCGAATAAATTGTGCTCGAAACTTCAAGCAGTTATTAATACTTACTTACTTTACTTCGGCTATCTCCTACGGGAGGATGAGCCGGCTTCATGAACATCTCGAATCATCGCTGCCCAGGCGCGGCGATCTGATGAAGAGAGTTCATGAAGTTTCATGGGAATTTGGTACGAGTGATGTCCCCAGAATCGCTCGGCCTTTTGTTTGACAGTGCAGCTCTAGCCTTTACACAACCAAGTGTGACCTACAAGGCAGTAGGAGTGGAGTAGGGAGTCCACTACCCATTGGCAGCCGGTGACCGGAGTTCGGTTCTTACGCCTTTTTGAATGGGGCCAGACATCCAGGACATCCAACAAGCCCTTTGTCCATACGTCTGCCGGTGAGCTCCAGTGAGCTTCATACGCCAGTTGTTGGAGGTTTGGAATCAGGGTTTAGCCATCTCCCCTAGACTGTCATCCAATGGACAGTCAACCCGGTGAAGAGCGCCGAGCATCCGCTTTCGCCCTCTCACTTTGGTGAAGAACACCTCCGCCACGTGAAGGCAGTGAGTAGGACTTCCTCAGGAGAGGCTATGTAAGACGCCCGGTCATATGGGAGGATTTCAAGAGGTGTGCGGAGGGGTGGCCAACCCGCAGCGCAAGGCACCCACCCCCGACCATCCTGAGGCTTTGGAGGCTGTATCACTTTTTTAAATACCAAATAAACTGATATCGCAGTGCCCAAATTTCCACTCTTACATTAATAGTTGTATACGGTTGTACTGGTGATTGACTATCTGTTAGCTTACCGCGATTCTACAGAAATTGAGTCTTTGGAATATGCGGTTGAATTGGTTTATCATTTTAATGGTGTCTCGTTGAGTGAATTGTATATTTAACTAGTACATCTCAGAGAGTTGACAGTTAACTAACTGTTAGATTCCATAAGATATTCATGTATAGAACATGACAATCATTTCTGTAACGTCATTTTAAGGTTTCAGTTCTTGAGATAGAAATATAATGTGTTTATGGTGAACTTGTTAAAAGTTGCGGGTGGTGTTCATGGAATAAGGACGATTAATATTCTAACAGGCTAGACTTATTGTCAACGGGGTGAAGCTTATCACGAACTATATCTCGTGACACGAAGATCCCGGTTTCGATCCCTGATTGAGTAGTTGGGTCGCACTGATGAAGAGTCTCAAACAGAATTCTCTAACTGATGTTGGTTTATAAGGAAATGTTCGTCGGAATAGCTTTCTGTTGAGAGATAGTACCTTAATTAATCAAATTTAATATTCATGCAAATAATTATTTTAGAATAAAGCCGTTTCCTCACCTTGTCTTACATCATACTTCCTGATTATAGATTGTAGTGAGCTATGAAGCTACTTTTGTAGTAAATTTCCTTTTTCTTTTCTTTTCATCATATGACAACGTATCTACATGTTCAGTTTGAACTGTTCCATGCAAAGTTTCGTTAATTACTGCAGTTCAGTCTAGATTTCTAGCCACTCCAGTTTACTCAACAAAAGTATGTTGCATACAGTACAATTGATAGTATTTTGAAATTAATGCCATCATCATATCATCGAATGATATGACTGTAAATAATACTATATGACTGTGTTTCCTATCAGACGAACTTATCTAATGTGGAGTTATTTTCTGGCACTGTGACCGAATTCTACTCTTACATTAAGTAACTGTTTATACTTGTTGTACACAAATGTAGTGTTCTTTTTCCATGAAAACTTTACAAACACATAAAGTGTGATGTATACCTTACAATTTGGTTAGTGTCTTCTTCTTTCTTAACTTCCTAGTTTGAAAACGATAATTCAAACAGGATATACGGAAATCTATATTTATCTCCGCGATGTGCTGTTTAAAGACAGTTTTTACGATTGGAATTTGTGTCTGATTGCATCTTTATTAATTGTTATAGCCTAAATGGGAGGGATTAACAATTGAATATCGACATTTCTTCATTCCTTTGCATTGCTGCTGCTGCTGCTGGGTTCAACATAGAACTTGGCACCGAAGTGCAGCAGTTCGAGTTGCCACGTTCCAAATAGCACACAAAGGTAGACAGGAAAATGAGTGAAGAGAATCAATAGAGTTTTGACAAGTATAAGAGTGAAGTAGAATGAGTAATGGTAGAAAGGAATATGAAAGATTACAGAGACTGAATACATCTGCGTAAGCCATTGACAATGATTTTGAGCCATGTCACCTATTGTCTCCAGCCATTGATTCTTAGAGTCCCGAGGGTGGGCCCCAACCCGGAAGTCTGCATCTCCCTACCTGACTCAGTTTAACCGTCAGGGATTTCATGGATTGATGAGGCCATGTTTTTGTTTGGCCACCACTTACTCTTTTCCAACCTGCACCTATATCAGCTAGTAATGCTCGTCGGGGGAGGCGATGGTTTGGCATGCGCAGCACGTGACCTAACCATCTCAATCCATGTAACTTCATAGCCTCTTCGATTGATTTTCCCTCCTTGCCCAACACTCTACGCCTAACGTCAACATTACTTACCTTATTATACCACCTAACGCGAGAAAGAGATCGTAAACATCTGTGGTCAAAAACAGACAATCTCTTCATGTCTTCTGCTCTCAGTGGCCACGTCTCACCGCCATAGAGAAGGACGGAGCGAACTGCTGAGCAGTATACACGTCCTTTGGTTGATAGCCGGATGTCACGCCTACGCCAGAGACGGTGTAAGTTAGCGAAAGCAGCCCGAGCTTTCTGGATCCGTGCTGTGATTTCGTCACCAATCAACCCGTTGGTGCTGATACAACTTCCCAAATAGGTGAAGTGGTCAACATGTTCTATCACTTCACTCCCTATCACTAAGCTAGGAGTTGACGTAGTCCTGTCCTGTAGCAGCATTCCGAGTATTACATTAGAGCTTCAGGTTTTGAAGTGTCGTTGGCAGTGGTATCGTTAATACGCTGAACCTTCTTCCCTTTCTGAGCTTACTTACTGGTGCGTAGACTAGGCGAAGTTTAGGAGTGCGCTTGAACCATCGACGTGGCTGGCGAACAGCCCAATGTCGACATAACTCAAATGAAATTAGATAGTCATATGTATTAGCTGAGTCTGAATCATTTTTCTGAAATACTTTTGATTAAATACATTTGACGTCAAGAGATGTCATTTGTCTGTCTCACTAAAGTTTTTATCATTTCATTCCTTTCAGTACTAGACGAGCTGTAAGCCCACCGCCTGTGCACATGTCTCCAGCTGAACCTACGTATCTATTGCGGTTGATTAACACTCGTGATAGTCCATCGTCAACAGAATCAGAAAGAATAGAAGCGAAAAATGCACTGAATACAGCTTTATCATGCTTAGTTGATCAGTTAGGTGGTTCTGTTTGTGAGGATGTTGAAGATGAAGTTGAGAAAACTGCTACAGTTGGTGATCGTGATTCAATGAATTGTTCAGATAAAAATGACGATGATCTGTCAGGTTTCAATAATATTCTTCTTGGAGCACTGATCGACTTGGAAGTACTTATTCAGGGTATATTCTCTTTTTGCATCATGTGCACTTATGTTTAATCATTTATTATCTCCATTATCAATTGAGTGAGTGCTGTTTTTATACTGTAATGTAGCAGTGTATATCTCTGAATTGTATTGGGAACAGCCGTCGCACGTATTACGGTGTTATTTCATTATGCATGATGTACCGTATTAACCTTAACACTTGACTTTATACCAATGTGTATTGGACTCAAGTCCTAATCCATATGATGTTCGTCTTGAAATCCTGGCGAACAACACTCATTTCTAAGTGTGGTTACTTCCTCACGTTTTTAGTTCCTTATTTGACGGTTGTATCATGTAATGCACTATTGTTTGTTTGAATACAACAAGAATGTTTCACAGGCTAGCAGATATACGTATTCTAATGGATGTGAGACATTGATTTCTAAGTCTGAAGAACTGACTTAAAGCTAGTAGGAGATATTAGTCCTTTTTGTGATAGGATGCTTGCATACTGCAGTCTTGTGAACACCTGTTTCGCTATTTTCATGCATGAGATAAGGATATGGAATGAAGTGGCTGGATGTGTTGGTAACAAAAGGCTCGTCTAACACTTGCTGACTTGGTCGGTCGGTTTTCGACATAGAACTTTGTACATATGTGCGACAGTTCAAGTCGCCACACTCCATGTACCACACAAAGCAAGAGGAGAAAGTAGAAGAAGTGCATAATATAGTCAGTAAACAAAGGTTTGAGACAAAGGAATAGTAATAACGAAGAACAAAACAGTTTCATTGGAAATCATAAGTCATAAGGAGTGGATGCATCTGCGCCACTGAGAACGATTTCGAGCCATGTCACCAATTGTTTCCAACCATTGGTTTTCACCGTCCCGAGGACCCTAACCAGGAAGTCTACACCTTCCTACGTTGCTTAGACTAACCGTTGTGGATTTCATTGACTGGTGCCATGTTTTCGTTTGACCGCCGCTAGCTCTTTTCCAGCCTGACCCTATATCAGCTAACATTGCCTGCTGTCGAGGAAGGCGATGACTAGGCATACGTAACACATGTCCTTACCATCTCAGTCGATGTAATTTCACAGCCTCATCGATAGATTTCCTTCTCACCTACCTAGCACTCGACGCCTAACTTTGCTGACTTGCATCATTCTTGACGCTGGTATGATATATATGGCTTTCTGTCAGAAGGCATGTTCTGTGTTTGAAGAAGTTTCGTGTTCACTGCTTTATAATTACAGGACAAGTCTATTGGAAATAGATTATGTGGAGAGGTCACAATTTTTTTTGACCTTAGATACTCTGGGAACATCACCCACACTATATTCAGACCAAAATAGTGAGTGGTGTTTAGGTTAAACGTGAAGTGTTAGGTGAGGAAAGTAATCCATTTAGTTGGTAAAGTCGTTAGATGACCTGGATAAATTTTGTACAGGCCGAGTAATCGTCTTTTTTGATGAGCCATCTGATCTTATGTAGGATTGAGCTTGTCGGTGGACTGCATGGTCTCAGCAGGTGGAAGTTGTCTGTTTGGTATGCTGGAGATGTGATACCACTTATTGATAACAGACTCTTTGTGAAATGTCTTAAAATCGTCTGAATTCACTCCTTGTCACCTTTCACATTTTGAAATCCTCACTAATCTTTGTGTACTTATTCTCTCCCACATATCCTTATCTCTAGTGATATGATTTTCTTTTTGTTATTTACAGTTAGGTAAGATGATAAACTGTTTGAATATGGTAAAAATTTTCTACCTTGATTCTTCCATCATCAAGGAATGCTTTTGTGTTTCCTTTATATTTCAAGGCCTGTTTGTTTTCTGAATTTCTAACAAGTGCATATATTCCATATTGATTTGTTTATTGTATGTTATTTAAAAGACTGATTCAATGAACAAACAACACCGTTTTTAATAACTTCTTCAGAAGACTTATTTGGACTAGATGATCTAATATAGAACTGCTGATGGTTTTAACTACATCTTTATTTAGCCACACTTACTGGTGTTCCAGGGCAGGAGAAAACTCCTATAGCGCTCCACATGAGTAGTTGAACTGATAAATACGACAAGAGGTGGTGGCTAGCCTAGATATTTGCCTTTCAGTATCGGAAAATATAATTTGCAGCTTACCGGGATTAAATGTTCTTTGAATCGATCTTCTCAACTTGTTGGTTATTATTTCGCTTAGTACATCACCTTTGAATTGTGATTATGCATATAGAAAGAGACTTCTGCTTAACAGATACAAAAGAATTATTTTCTACTCTTTTGACCATGAGTTTCGTGATGAATTTACTAAGGATCGAATGCAACCTTAAGTTCGTCTTTAATCGCATTTTCTGACCCTACAGCTGAGGGTTTTTACCGAATTTTTTTTATACTGGAGACAAACAAAGCTGTGAAAATGTGAATATTGATGAGGCCAAGTACTTCTCCTATGGAAATTCCGTTTAGTACTGCCGTCTGGTCTTCTTGTCAGTAAGACGTCTATAAAGACAATTTTACTTTTGAAATTTTCCTCCATATTTGAATTTCATATCTGAATGTACTTCATTGAGTTTAGATATTATTGCATACCTTTCCCAATCATTTTCACAGGATGACAATAAAGTGGGAATTTTCTGATAAGATCATTTTTGGGACCATTTTCTAGTGTACTCAGAAAGAAATGTGTTTGTCTGTAGAATTCACTATCAAATTGAAAATTCACATTCATGGTTCACTTCAGTAACAACTCTAAAGATTTCTGCTAGGATTCCAGTATTCATTGACTTCTTACTTATGTGTTGATGCTAGATGGTTGGTGTAATCAGCAGGAAGCCTTGGACCTAGGTTTCGTGCTAGTTGGCACTGAAAAGTCAGTAAGGTGTATCTGCAACCTTGAAGGAACTCACGTCCCTTCTGAAATTGGAACCCGTGTCACCCGGTGCAGTGCTGCAGTCAGAGACGTTACCACGGAGCTATTCGGACTAGCGATTGACCTCCTTCCTGTAGGACTGTATTGGATACTGTGATTGGACAATAGTAACTAGTGTGATGTGTCTAGTCCTTTGTTTGATGCAGACTAAATTGTATCAGTCAGGTTCGCAATGTGGCCACAGATGCAGTTAAGTGTTTGAATTAGAGGTACACTTGTAATTAGAGATGTTACATCCAAAGACATACTTTTATCATTGGTGTTAATGTCTTTCTGTGAATTCAGACATGTTCTGCACATATATTTACTAGATGTTCCTTCCAGGGTTTTAGAATAGTTCCTAAGCGTCTAGTTAAAGCACGGGTAGGACGAGTTGTTTATGTCTAAGATGAGTCTTAAAGTAGTGTAGGTGAATGGACTTTGGGAAAGCCGTATATGCACCCGTGGGTCTGGCTTCTTCACGTAGACTTGTGCAGAGCATGTGTTTTTCATTTAATCTCTTTAAACGTTTAGTTACTTCATTCTGTATTCTATTATTTGAATATTGCTCTCCTCTAGTTTTTGACAATAAAACAGTATTATACAGTGGATGAAAAAGTTTCAAACAATTTATTCTTCAGAATCATATCATCCATTGTAACTACACAACTTCGGAGGTGGATTTATCTTTCTACCTTCCCCAGTATTAGAATTTTCCATTTGTTCGGGACGGGTATTGATTGAGTCATTCCTGTTGCTTGTGTTCTCAGTTGACTCGATAAATAAAACTGCAGTTATGCATCTCTTCCTCCATCCAGTCACGTCAGCTTTTAAAACTATCACTTTTTCCCATCGTATTGTATGATTTTCCTTGTAACTGCATGTAATGCTGTAGGTGCACTTTTTTTAATAAATACCTCATATTTAACTAGGGTTAACTGATCTGACGAGGTTGAATGCTAACCTATTCTTAAAATCTAATGTAACGGGATGGAAGGAGATATTGGTAACTGAAGTTTTACTTATCGACTCAAAACTGAGAACACACGCAACAGGAATAAATGACTTGGCGCATATCACGGACATATTGAAAATTATACCATTCTATTCCACTCTAGAAATAAGAAGGAAGAGTGAGAGCAATAGAAATCAAGTTTCGGAGTTGTATAGTTACAATTGATTATATGATTCTGAAGAATAAATTGTGTTTGAAACTTTATCATCCAGTAAATAATACTGTTTTAGTGTGTATGTGTGTGTGTGGTATCCAATAAACAAATTAATATTATGGAATTACACATTTCCACAGCGTACAACGTTTACACATATAATCAAGTGTACATATATTTGTATCACTGAATTACTGTTTCTTTTCATTTTACCTTTCTTTGTAAATAGATCCACGAACATGTGATTTACTACCACCTTATATGCCTTATATCATTACTCAGTTAACGCTACTTTGCAATCGCCTGTTCATATCTGAAGTTAATGCTGGGCAGGCTATTTTCATGGATTGTTTAGGTGGTGAATTAGCATGCGTAAGCTTTTAAACGAAATGTTTTACGCTTTGTTTTACATATATGTTTTGTACATTATTTATTTATTTTTGTAAAGTTCATAACTGTATAGATTAATCATCTATTGTTTTCTCGTCTATTGCATTCAAAATCGCTTTTTCTGAAATTCGATTTCCACAATTGTGAATAGTATTTGTAGATTTTAAACGAGTTTTACACGTAAAGCGCTATAAGAAGAATACCGAACATGTAGTTCAACTCAGAGGCTGTTTTCAGCGAATTCATTTTCCCCCCGTTAGTTGTATAATCGCATTTTGTAGACAACGTTTTCATCAATGAAAGTTGTTAAATATCCAAATCGCAGAGATCCTGGACCTATCGCTTGTTTCAGAAGACTAAGCTTAATACGAAGAACACTATGCACTGTAACCGACGCAGAACAGGAGAAAACGGTTGAGCAACACGATTATTTATTGTTCATGCGATAACGAAACAGATTTACAATGGTTAATCAGTGCCAAAGTCTGTAATAAACGTTAATATAATATACAACAATACTTCTGATCGTATTTTTCTAATCTTCTGGCAACCAGTACTCACTTAAGCGATGACAGCCTTCTTGTCTCTCGCCAAATGGAGACTAGTTCGAAGAAACAAACTATTCAATGTTCACCGAACATTGACAAAAGTGGTAACAAAAGTGATGAGTTGTCATAGTTGTCAATATTAGTCGATGCATAAGAGGAGTTGGATAGTGTATTAGAGTTACGTGATAGGATGAATAATGTAATGAATTAGTTGTAACCAAGATGTATATAGAAGCAAACGAAGCAAATAAATAAATAAACAAACAAACAAAAATCTAGTCAATAGAAATCAACAAGGTTCTTACCGTGATAGTAGAAGTGGTTGAGCGAATTCATTTCCCTGTTTGGCTGTACTGCCTCTTACAACGAAGACAGTAGTTGTTCTATGAGGAGTGCGACAATCGAACACCGTGTTAACACTGATCATCATTCCATCTCAAAGAACGTCTCCTTCAAAGTAGTCTACTAAGTGAAGAACAATCTGTGAAAGGCAATGCGCTCTCGTCTTCTTTGCATTGCAGAAGCTCCAGCCATTCAGATAGGGAAAGCGGAGTTATGCTGCATACAGGAGGAAATTATTCAACCACTGCTGCTATCTTCGTAACCACCTTGTTGATGTCTACTGACTTGACTTTTGTTTTTTTTCCCTTCGTTTCGGTATGTATCCAGATTACAACTCATTCATTAAATTATTCATCCTATTACGTAACTCTAATACACTATCCAACTCCTCTTATGCATCGACTAATATTGACAACTATGAATATGACAACTCATCACTTTTGTTACTACTTTTTTTCGTGAAACAATTGTGTATAAATGCGATTGTACAGCTAAAGGAGAAAATGAATTCTCTGAAAACAGCCTCATCATTGAACTACGTGTTTTGTTTGCTTTAATTTCTGGATGGGGAGATTTTTCATGAATTGAAATAAGAAGCACTGTACATTCATATTGATTTGTATTACTTCTCTGTTATGTTATTGGTGTAATTATGTTCCCTGAATTGGATGGTTTAGTTACAAAATTTTGGTTGCCTTTCAAAACAACATTTACAGCAAAGTTGAATATTAACTGATTCAGGTGATGACTGATTTAATGAATGGGAATTAAGGCACTGTGATAGAGTGCAGTTCCATCATGGAGTAAATGTATTTGATATGAACACACATACACAGACAGTGATGCTTTGTTTCCTGCTGATGATGTTTTTGAGCCCACAATCAATGAGGCATTCACGTAAATTTTGAACTTTGTTTGCATAATATGAACTATTTATTCTTGAATTTGATCAATAGTATTGTGACGACAGAAGACAGAGGTCAGGCAACAGATCGTTTATTGAGAAAATCAAGAGATATTTATAGATTTTTATGTACATTGTTGTCAGCGGAGAAGCATCGTCTTCTGATTGGTTGTTTTCTTGCTGAAGGTTGCTCTGTCATCTCTTTTTTCTTGTTCTTTTCTCATGACCCTGATTCGGGACGTAACATTGACGTAAATTGCTGTCTACAATTTTCGGCTTGCAGCCAGCTCTCATCACAGCATTACTTTCCATATCTTTGGTATTGGTGTTGAATAATTGCCATTGCAGCGCAGAATTGATGAAAGATGATTCAGTAACCAAGCTATATTACTTTTTCGAACTTGAGCTTCATCCGATCGTATTGTGTGAGATTATATGTTAGTATACATACACTACAGTTGCTGAGTTCTCGTAACTAGTCATCTCCGTTGAGTCTCAGTCATTGTAAACTTAGCTAAATTTTTATATTCTGATTGTTTAGCTATCCGTTACCTACTGGGCTTAACTTGCTGCATCGCTGTGTGCTTTTTTTATCGAATGCATTTATTCTATGATGGGATGAAGTAAACACTCTCTATCCCTAGGACTTTTTGTCCAGTTGGGTGATGTAATACCATTAAAAAAGTTTTTTATTGCATCAGTTTTTTCTTTTATTTCCTTTTTCCCTGTATACTGTTAGATTTTTTCACAACCCTTTCTATTTCGAGAAGTGAATGTTGATAATTTGAAGTATCTGTTGGGTAGTTTAATACAGCTTGCTGAACGGCTACAATTGAATCATGATGCGCCTAGACTGTGCACAAACCCACGTGTTTTGATGATACTGAAATTAGTTCGATTAATCTATACAGCAATTGATCCATCCATTTCCCTGAGGTTAGTTAGTTAGTCGATTTCAACATCGAGTTATTTTATCAGTTTTATAATTTTATTTGTACTCGAGACGTTAAATTGAGTTGTTGAGTGAATTAAAGCTTTCAGTAAATGTTTTTTAACAAGTTAGACAACACTGATTGTCAGTGGGGTCATGCGTGCGTACTACTACTGAGTAGCTCTAAACTGGCACGAAACAGGTTTTCAGTACTTCCTGGTTTTCCATGGTCCTCTAATTAGTGTCAGTCGTTGATCTTACTCTTTTTTCTCCTTTTTCTTCCAATTCCTTTGCTGTCTGAATGGAATGTATAGAACTCGAAGTTTGAGCTTTAAAGTTTCAGAATTGGCGGTGTTGCGTTTTTTCAGGATGGGGTTGCTGGCTTCATGCATGCCCAATCCTTCCTCTTTTCCTAGGTTACTACTATCAGCTAGCACATGTGTGTGGTTGGCGAGCATTGTACCCTTGAACCTCCGACGCACATGGTTTAACTTAAAATTAGTTATATCTCTGTAAACCAACACCTGAAATTATCATTACCAGCAGAAATACCGTAAATTGCATGTATATATATATGTCTACCTTATTATTCAAGTGTTTATCGATGGAAAACTGGGAGTTATCTGCAGTCACCCACGACCTTTTCTTCACATTGAACTTTCCTTTCTCATATGTTTGTCATTTAAGTTGTAAAACGTATTTGTTGTGTGTATTTTACTATGAAACAAAACGTGTTTCATTGATTTTTACTGTTCTAGCCTTAGTTGACTCCTGTGAATTTGATTTTCTATTTCATAGTGCTCTTCTACGTCTGGTGCATATATGTTGTTTCGGCTGTGATATACGAAATCGTCAAAACAAACCAATTCATAAAAATAACAAGGATAATGCTGACGATAAGTTGTCAAAGTCTCTTCACCAATTACCTGAACCCTATTCTGTAGATCTGGGACCGAATTCGTTTGCCACTGTGGCGAAACTTTCACTTGCTCAACTGTCTTGTCGGATTTCAGAAATTAGGCGGTATTGTAAGTTGATAAGTTTGTTTGTTTGTTTTGTGCTTATAAATTTTAAACTATCCTGTGCTAGAGAAGAACCTTCTAGGGCCAAGTTAAAGTCAAATGGCCCGAGAATGCCAACACTCTAATGACCTTGAAAGCATACTAGTCGTTAGATAACGAGACTTAGCATTATTATAGCGCGATTCACGAATTCAAGAGTAAATTCCACTCCGATCATGTTTTTAATTACTGTTTGGACTATGTGTTAATAGCTCGTTAGGGTCAGGATTAGCATTCAGGCAGATATTAGGGTGAGGGTTATAATTAGGATCAGGATTAGAGTAGGGTTAATTAGTTTTATTATCCACATTTTCCTAGTAGGTAGTCAGTCATATATCCTCTTGCTTGAAACCATAGTAATTCAACTGAGGGCTTTTGGGGAAGACTGCAAAACATAATAAGAGAGATAAATGGACCACAACAAGGCTCATCTTCAGTCACCTCAGTGAATACGTTCACAGGAACTGGTTTAACTTAATAACTGATACTCATTATAATTAGGAGCTGCTTTTAAGTCATGTCATAAAAAAGATATCCTGTTTAGTGTGTTTTATCATTATGCTGTCTATTCCTTTTGTATATAAACGTCATTTTTATGCAGAAATCGCTGTTATTTCGTGATTGGTCAGCTCAAGGTGTGCTTTCCATGATTCATGATACCTTAACTTTGCCCCTTCAAGATTACAGATACGCCTTGCTAACTGAGGGGTGCCAGCAAGCACAAAACCTAAGTCCAAAGCTTTATGTCGATTGCTTCCAATTGTCTAACAACAACAACAACAGTTTACTGTTGAGTAACAGGGGTGTGTGACATTGTACATAAGATAAACGCATTCACTCGGATGTGTATTCGATCTGAGTATTTGCTTGTACTCGTTATTCTTTCTTGCTGGTTCTTTCTGACCAGCTGTTTGATCTTCAGTATCGAGACAGTGAAAGCAGCTACTGTTTGAAGTCTCTTGCAGGCTGTTGGAAATGCTTTTCATAACGTATCATGTCTCTGCAGCCTCTTAAACCGGTGACTTATTGTTTGTGTTTAAGATCTAGATCTAGATGTAGATCCACCATATGCATAATGCAGCAGGTTCACACACGGATTGCAGAAGAATGCATGACTCTCTTTGACATCCCCATCTGTGCTGCCTGTAGTTGAAACAATGTTGCCCGGGTATGTGAAAGAGGTGACTTTCTTTAGATATCTGTCACTAATGCTTGCTGTTGTTTATTCATAGCCTCTACATTCGCTATGTTCACTTGCAGGCCTGTCTTCGCTGCTCGTTATACCAACTTCTTACTTCTCCATCTGAACTTCTAGTTTGTGTGTGTCCATATCCTCTAGAGCCTTTTTGTATGTCTAACGTTTATGTGTCTTCTCACTCAGTAAGGTGTGCCGCATGATGCAATTCATCAGAATCGGGAATATCATCAGTGATAGCAGACCGTCTTGTCTTACTCCTCTCTTCACTTCAAACGCTTAACTGGGTTTTCCGTTGTAAATCACTTGGCGTGCTGTTAAATATAGTTGATAAAGTTTCGGTTTCATCCGCACCATTCAAAATGGTTTTCAGTCATGTCGCCAATATTTTCTTGCTATTTTTTCTTAATGTCTCGAGCGCTCCCCAACCAGACATAGTTCAAACCAACATTCGGACTTCACTTTTTTGTTTGACTGTCCTTAATTCTTTTCCAACAACACACAATAGTTGATAACCAACTGTTGTTATGCATGTATGTATTTTAACAACTGTATGTCTTGTTTTCTCTTCTCAATGATTTCAGTAAATAAAATTGATTGGGCTTTAATTCTACCATTGTTGGAAGCATTTCTGTCTAATTCCTCCGGTGAGCAGAAACCTGTAAAGATAGAAAGTAATCGTTCTGTTCGTGTGGGAATCTTAGAAAAGACTGTTAAGACAATTCATAATATGCTCATAGAAGTTTATGCTTGTTGTGGTCAAACATTTATTGATGAAATTGAAAAGACTAATGTAAAGGTGAGTTGTCAACAAAAAGAGCAAGACACATGAGTATATTCTTTTTTTAATTTTATCTCTTTCCATTCTTACTGGATAGTTTTATATATAACTTTGCTTACTTGAAGTTTGACAAAGTCATACTTTGCAGATTGTCCTTGTTTACATTCTGTGAATCTTGATGATAATCTATTGGAGTATGAAATGCTTTCATATAATGGATTCGAATGTTTTCGGCTGAAATAAGGTGAAATAAGGCGAAAATCGTGTTATTTCGGTGATGATATAATACTGTGATGAGAGCTGTCTGCTAGCCGAAATTGGTCGACTGCAATTTACGTCAATGCGCTTACGTCCCATATCTTGGTCATGAGAAAGGAACAAGAACAAAGACTAACTCAACAGCCAATCACAGCAGACTTTGCGTGGGCGGGTACTATTCGCGAAGAAACGGCAACGAAGAGATGACAGAATAACTTTCAGCGAGAAAAAAAGCCAATCAGAAGACGCTGTTTCTCTGCTGATAATAACGAATAATAATGTACATAAAAATCTATAAATATCTGTTGATTTTCTCAATAAACGATCGGTTGCCTGGCCCTTGTTTTCTGTCGTTACAACAATACCACTGATTTTTGTAGACTCGATAGTAATGCTGATCACTGAATACGTGCATCTTTCAAAGCTCATATGAATAGGACAGACTGATCTGTGTTGGTGTAAACAATTTGATTTGTATTGTAGAAAAATATATTTATATGCAAATATTACACACTTTGGAAATTTAAGTCGACGAATAACCAATGATTATACTGGTTGAATAAAGTCTGACTTCTAAAGAGTTGTACAATCACATTGTTGTAATAAATACTCTACTTCACTCCAATGGTTCAATAGTCCAAACTGATTTAAAGTGGTATTAACCGTTGGTTGAAGATTTTAAATTATTTCTTGTGACTGTTAGATTGATTTTATTACTTTGCTGCAACTGACTGCTCATTCACAATACATAAAAATTAAGTAGACTGATACTAATCAACTTACTGGTCGTACTGGCTGATAATCTAATCGAAGGATCACTGTTCATGGGAAGTGTATCACTCTCAGAAGTCTACATTCATCAATACATGCATAGTAAATCGATTCGACAGTTAATAAATTACGGGATTTTTGAGGATTTGGCCCGTTTTTCACTTCTTAGATTTCTTCACTGGTTAGAGGGATAATTAACAAGCATGGAGCAGTGGAAGTCTTCAGCACTGCTCGCCCATGATCCCACTGGGAGTCGAACCCGAGACATTCAGGTTACAAGATCAATCTCGTTGATCATTCAGGGTTCGTAGGTGTGTGCACCACTGAAGACTCCTAAAAGATACTGTTTTTCAGAATCCCCTTTGTATTGTTTTGCTATGCATTCGTCGAACCCATCAATTCAAATGTATGTTATAGTCGACATGCGTAGCACAGGTGATGTATGGTAGGCGAAAGAGATTAGAATGAGACTAGGTGATCTTTTGTAAAATAATTGGTTTTGTTAATTTATTCGGGGAACATATCTGTGTACACTTAGTTATGTTACCAGCATTTTAATTTCTGTCAGTGCCTTCTGCTTACAAAATCTTGAGAAAAATTTGTTTTTGATATCGGAAAAAACGTCACCTGGTTTACTAGTTGACGAGTTTACTGACCAGTCCTAAGCCCGAAAGATGGGGGATCGTCTGGAGTGACCTTACAAATCCTGCGCTTAAAAATAAATCCAATCGCTACAGAATCTTCAGAGCACAGAAGAACTAACAGAAATAAACTTACTCTTCCTTAGAATTCGGGTAGCGGAATAACGCTGACTAGTTTGGCTGATGTGTCTTCTTCCTGTGGAAACCTGGGGACAATGTTTGAAGCACGCAAGGCTACTAAGGTTTCAAATAAAATTTAAGGCATGTTTTAAAAGAAGTGTTAGGAATCCCTGTCAACATGAAGTAGTGCTTCTTCAGTCAAATTTGTGAACGACAGGAAATTATTCAGTTTTCTCATGAATTAATTTTAAATTCCATATGTCATGTGAATATTTCATAATTGTTTTATATTACTCTTCCTTTTGCAGTGTCCTTCTGTCCTCCGTGTTGTACATAAATTAAAGTCTATTATGCGTGAAGCACCATATCCACATTGTACTAGTGGAGCGAATCAGGTTTGTTGTTGAAAATTCATTGAAATGATTTGATTAGATTTCGTTTTGTGTGAATGGGATTGCATTTTCTTTGAATAACTAAATGGACAATGTTCTGTTTTCTGACAGCCTGTTGTTCTTCCCGAGATTTTTATCATGAAAAGTTGATGCAGTACCGAATTAGATAACTCGAAGCAAATTTTCACTGAATAAAGGCCGATAGTAGTAGTTTCCCATGTTTTAAGTAGGTGGTGGAATAGGATTTGAACCAGTTGGCATATCTCCACACGCTGTACTACACTGTGTGAATTAATAAATATTGCACTATTTTCAGGCATTGGCTTTGTGGGAATTGTGTTTGATTGGTTTGAGGGTTTCATGATGAGCTGATATCAGTTAGAGAACCATTGGAAAACCTGAGAGTACTGGACAGCTATTTCGTCCTGGTTTGGGACAATCCGCTGCTCTACGGTAGTTTGACATTTATAATAGTGAAGAAATGTGCTACATTTCACTTAACTATGGTGTAGTTGATTTTATTTCACTTGATATAAAGAGAAGTAATAATGTGTTTCAGAGGCCTGAACACTTCGAAGCAAAGGGTCGTGAATTTGAATAGTGCTTCCATGACAAATAGGTAGTGCTATAAACCTTCTGTGTGGAAGTGTGGCTCTTGAACTTAGTCAGTCAACTTTCGGCCAGTGGGTTCCCGGCTTTGAGTCTCACTACACCCCAACCCACCTAGGGAAACGAGTAGTATCGTCGATTCTCATACAATAATGGTGTAGCTGGTACATGATAATTCTGTTATATATAACTGATTTCTAAGTAGAGATTGTTTTATAAGACTTCACTTATCAAGAGTAGCTTTTATTGCACAGTGCACAGAAAACGTGTGTAGTGGAGGAGTATTCTTCCTTACTAAATACAGAGTTATTCAAGCGTGTGAGTGTTCATGATAAATGGTAGACAATATTGGTGACATTCCTTTGTTAGTTTACATTCTAATTACTCTTTTGTCTATTAGAATTTTGACTTCTCCTGCATGTAGGCCAACTTCACAGTTTGTAAACTGATGCATATGTATATCCCTTTCATTTATGAATAAGATAGATCAGTCAAACTTCATTGCTTCGATAAGATAGATAATAGTCATAAAGTTCCGATGGTGATGAATATACTTCACTATATATATAAATGATGATGGATAATTCCTTAGTAGGTTTATTTTGATGGTGATATTGAACGGTCTAGTTGTCACATTTTAATTATGTCATGTGAATGTGAATGTCAAGGTAACCTATTGTTGTTTGTGTTTTGTTTTCATTCTTTAGTTTCTTTTTTAGTTCAATATATGTCCTGCTTCCAATGAAAAATACTGAACTATAAATTATCTTGTGTATATAATATTTCTAATATTTACATGAACTCTGTACACTCTGTGATGATGACTAATTGCCTTACTTGCCTTGTATATATATCTTGCTTTCTTTTTATCTTCATTGTCTTACCTGTCGATAGATTCGTTTATCTTTTGGTCTAAATACAATATCTCTCTTTATTGACCGCCTAATCAGTCTTCCTGATATACTTCATCAATAATCATACAGCCTACGTTTAATTTCTCATAGTTATATTGTATCGGTAGAGTTGAATAGAGTTGGAACCTGCATCAGTGAATGCAGAATCTAGCTAGAAAGCCTCGTTAGGCTGTTAGAATGACACCTGACTGAATGTGAAATTGATGTTGCATACTCCTCGATCACAATGGTGAAAAGTGTAGTCATTCATTTTTGAGTATTTTGATTAGAAATCTGTGGATCAGGTGGTCTGTGAGGTAGGTGGCACTACAGTGGTGTTCAATATAGCTGATATTTGTTTGAGCGTTGGTGAGAAATTGCTTACTGTAAGAGTAACTGTGCGTCGGTGGCACAGTGGTAGATTACTCGCCGACCACAGATATGGTCCGGGGTTTGACCTCCGGTCGACTCACTGCTTTACCTCGATAAGCCAGAAATAAAGTTGGTAAAGGGGAAAAGTTGGGCATGAGGCTAACAACCTCATCCTGTAAAAAAAAACACTGCTAAAGAAACTTCGAGCCTCTAGCTTAGAGCCCCATGTTCCACTGGGGAACGTGAAGGAAAATAAAAATATTAAGTGCACATGAAATATGATGACCATGGTGACAGCTGTGTGACAGAGTGCTAAAATTAGCAGTGGTATCTGTGTTTGCTAATGATGTCACTGCATGGAAAATGCCAGTTCATATTAAAGTAATAGTCCCTTGTGATTATTCTACGTACTTTATGGATAACAAAATAAGCTGTTCCGTGAAGAGGCTCTTTTCAGTGTTTCCATTTTCTTTGCATATACGATAGCATCCATATACAATTTTTTACCAAGGCGAATGTTGACGTAAGATATTGTAGTCGTAAAGAAATTTCAAAAGTCATTTCCATACAGACTTTATCATTGAACGTTGAGCGCTGATCTTCAGCTGGTTAAGCCGAAGGTACACAGCTAGAGTATCTGTGCCATTTAGTCAATCTGTTGTGCCGTGTTTGTGTGTTCTGTCTGGTTAAGTAAGCAGATGTCGCTGGTGTATGTTTCTGATCTCGAAATATACCTTGTATTTGGGAGGACCAAATTGTAGTTCTAGTCTGAGTTTCTGACAATCCTCTTGTCATAAAGAACAAGTGCGTACAACTGTACTCGTTGCCATCTTTCGTCTCGTCATAACCATAGTGGTTCACATTATTCAGTTTATAAGAACAGTTGAATACGAGTGACGGGGTTACGTAATGAATTTAGGGATTAAGTGAAGAATCTCTAATGCGCATATAGATAGAAGAGAAAATGATATCTTATAGAAGAGTTTGAACGAACAGAAGGCTTAGACAGAGTTTTAAAAAATGATTGAAAGTAGCGGTAGAACTAATAGTTCCTGAGTTACACGATCAACCCATGGAATAAATTAAGTAACAGCCTTTTCTAAGTATGAAGCTTGGGCACTGTGGTAGAGTATAACTCCATTATAGGTAAGATTTTATCCATAACAGACTTTTCTTTCAGAATAATTGCCGACCAGTTGCGGAGAACGGTGCCATAATTTGAACTCACGATAGTGGCTAAGTGAGGTGGGGTAACTTATTCAAACACAGGGAGGCACCCATTCAACAGATGAAGAGACCCTTGCAAATCATAAGGTTCTAGTTCCAATCTAGTTGCTGTTTCACTTTTCTGAGTTTCCTAATTGCTAACTACCTGCTGGTGACCTAAGCTTCCTGTGTTACGGAGAAAATAATAGCTACTTTTGACCTTTAAAGGAATATAAACCGCCAAAAATAAACTATACTTGTTAGTAGTTTGAGAAGTCAGGACTTAATATTTATTGTTTGTTTAGAAGCATTTCAGTAGTATGAAGGCCGTACGCAAAATAAAAGTAATGCCATCTATGCTTTTATGAAATGATCCGTCAACCCCCTGCCTGCAATATCAAGTTTTTAGCATAGCGACTTCCCAACACGTGGTGTACAAAGATCAAACCGACAAAAAGGATTAAATGGGTAAATCAACTCAAGAGTTAAAAGTGGTGTACAACATTTTACACAGAAGAAGGTGGATCTATGCGATGCACAACTAAAATCCATTAGTCACACAATAGTAGATATGTTTTATAGAGTTTTCAATTCCCGAAATAAATTGGCCTAATAATGTGAAATATTAGAGAACAATAACTTAGCAGAAACATCTCTATCATCTTCAGCACGACTAAAGGTTCTATCGTCTACGTGTTGGTCATGAGAGAATATCTGGGATTCTACACGTCCACTGAAAACATTCGCATATCCAGTTACCTATTGAGTTTTTCAAAAGGATGACAAAAGTGATTATTAAGATGGCGGAAGTTACAAAGACAAATAGTTAGAGGACATCATTTCAAACTCCATTATTGAATAATAAATAGACTATGAAGACTTTAAGCGAATTAAGAAATATAGAATACGTTCAGCGAAGAGACTCATTTCGGTGAATTCATTCACATAGCTGTACAATCGCATTTATATATAATTAATGTGAGTGTGTGTGTGTGTACATGAGGTTTGTCAAGTTTAGATAATTAATTAGGCAATACAAGAATGATGTAATATAGAAACAAAGTTAATCAGACAGCAACTAAAGTAAGATTGAGTTAGTAAGTTAGATGACGTAATATGATTGACTGAAATGTTTCAACTTAGTTCAAGATAGCAACAGAGGTAGAGACTGAGTAGAGGTGGGGTAGAGAATAATGCCATTTACATTAGGACTAAAATTGAGCAAATAAATTGGGTGACGTAACATAAATGTGTAGGAATTAAGCGTTGGCCAAGTTAGTAACAGTTGTTATGATGTGTGGAAATTAAAACGGGTGGGGCTAGAGAACAGGGAAGTTGGAAATGTAAAGTATTACAATTGTGAAGACAAAATAATTTTAATGAAGAGACAAAGAAATATAATTTACCTGTCGGGTTTATTAAGACAGATTACGTCCATTGCAATTGTAGTGATTGAACGAACTTCATCTGTATGCAGAGTTCAGGACTTTGCAAGTGAATCGCCATTGTTTTTGCAGTTTGAAGAAGTCTGACTCGTACACTTTTAGGAAGACTGCTTCGTATTCTGTAGACGACTTTGAAGTTTGTCTGGGGTGTAGCTTGGTGTCCGGAATCTATCAGATGTTCTAAGATAGAGCTGCGGGGCATGGTTAGCGAACGCTGGGTAAGTTATCTTGGAAACCAGGTACCAATAAGTAATGCTTTCATCTCAATAAATTTCTGAAAGAAATTTACAATGTGAAATTGACTTAGGGTAACAACGGTGGATCAATCGTTTAAAATATAGGGACAGTGATTTTTATTGGAAAAATGTTTTGGAAACCATGTTGATTTGAGGGTTGCGAAATACACGGAAACTTAAGGGTTATATGATTTAGGTTTCAGTATTTCTCCAACCGATTTTTCTGTTACACGACAGATGCCATTGAATGAACCAGATTCTTAGGAAGAAATACATGGACTAATAAAAGAAACAAGTGAAATTTGTAATAACTCAGATTTCTCATGTACCACGTTGCGAGTCATATTTATTGTGTGAAGACTGATGATTCTAACCAGTTATCCGGGGTGATGTAAGTGGAGCAGAAATGAAACTGTTCATAATGTAAATGCTTTCTTCGAGATGTGGACATATTTGCTTTCTTTGGCGATAACATAACCTTTTTGTCGAGTAAGGTCTCCGGATATCTACTTTCACTTCGTTATTCAAAGATAATAAGCTTCAGGTACACACTGAGGTAGCAGTTTGAGGAGACTGCTCTACTATTCTAATGGATACTTCTACTCTTGAACTGTTGTATTAGTTTGTTTCGTTATATGTCATCCTTTCATCATGTTGATATTGACAATAATCACTTCTAATAAATTGATCGCAATAGCACAGTTGAACTGGATATTAACGAAAATTTAATTCAAAGACAAATGTTTCTCCTGCGTGTACGATTGAAAATAAGAAATGACCTTAATCTCCTAAACTCTATAGCTCACAACTTATGCAAAAGTTAATATTCAGTCTCATCAAGTAGAATATTCAAGGGAAGAATTAGGAATACATTTATTAGTTATTCAACATAGAATATAAAATCAATGACACTGTGTGTGGGAATCACTTCCTTCAGCAATGAATGTCATAAATTCACTGAAAGTAGCTATTACCTGAAAAAGAAAATAATGATTCAAGAGGCGTAGATATGATTACTACTGTTAGTAAAAAAGTTAATCAGTTAAAGTGCTAGGAAATACCAGAAATCCGTGAATTTGAGTGCTATTGCGTTAGTCAGTATTTTTTACTCAGAAAAAAAAGATGAATGCTGCATCTGTCTGTAGTCATTAGGTCAATGGTGTTACAAAACAACTGAATACTATGTGAATATGATTCCTGGATATTTGTGTGGATTTCATTTGAAGAATTGCATATAGGGGAGCTTCGAGACAGCATTAAAGGGTGAAGAAAGTTCGTGAAAGCACCTACTTCATCGTGTTGATGCTTAATCCACTGAAATGCAAAAACGCATCATTAGAAGTTATTGTAGTATGTGTTTTTACGTCACTTTACATTTCCTGGAAGAAGTGGTGGATATTGCAACTGGTCGTATAAATTGCTTAGTTTACATCATCAAATATCACTATCTTTCCCTATTTCTGCTTCAGTCGGTGAACTTCATCGACTTTCAGGTAGCATACGAGTATAACAGTATGCAACACAATGAATACTTATTATATTATTAGGTTCATGAACTACATGTGGTGTGTATCGAATGACCCAAGTCAATCTACAGGCTGCCCTGTATACTATTTCTACCGATTATCCTGAAACATATTGAGAATAACTCCACGTACGTTCATTAGTGTATGTGTCTGAGGATTACAGAAATCAAGTACACCGTGTGTTAATTACAATATACATACGTGTGCT